CTCCAAAGTTAAAGTTTAAAGTGTTTGAATGAAAGTTTTACAATTGCAGAGAAAGAGAAAAGGGATGACACAAGTGACGCGCGGGTTTGCGAATATGAAAAAAAGAGTAATTCCACGAAAGAGTCAGAAATCGGAAAGGGAATTAAATTATAATTATATCGTTCAACAGGATTGAAAATTTCAATTATCCCATCCAGACGAAATATTCCATCACCATTTTAAAATTTACTTTTAAAACAGTACTAAAATTTACCATCTCCATAATAGTAACCAATGCACCTCTTTTCTACTCAAACCATAAAAATCTTCTTTAACAAAAAAAAGAAAAAAAAACCTAAGAATATTGTCGCATATTCGTCGACGTCTAGCATGAGGCTTTTCATACCTCACATTCGATTTGAAAGAACTGAGTAAGCAACAATATGGAGGTCAGAGAGGATATAGAAAATTTATTTTCTACGGTTTCGCTGAAAAACGACCAGCAACAAAACGTAAAGGTTTCTCTGAATGAAACATTGAAAAGGAACGGGAGAAACTTTTTTCACTTTATACAAGTTTCATACAAACTTCAGGGAAATAGTAGATGACTACTTCAATCGATTGGAGGCACAAATTGAACGGACAACCAAGACACAAGCTATAAGGGGTTTTGTGAATTTCAGAAACTATTCGATGGACAGTCTGCTACTACGCCACTAACAATATAAGTTTTCGTTTAATTAATCAAAAGCATATCACTATTAATTAATTTAATCCCCTTGTACCTTTCAAAGTTATTGAAAATTGACTTTTAGAAATTATTATTATCATTATTTATAATTAGAGATGTGAAATAACTGAGCATAAAAGAAAAATGTTGAAATTATTTGAAAAGAAATATTAAAATAATGTGAAATATTGAATGTTTGAATAAATTAGCTTAAACGAAATGGAGACAGTAAACAAATTAATGCAAAAAAATCGGAAGCATAAATTCATCGACCTTGTTAATTAACATAAGGCAATGAACTTTAACACCTCCTTTAGTCAATGGTATCAAATCATAAATCATTAGTGAAAAAAACAGAAATAGCCACGACAAATATTCTTTTTTATAAGCCTAATAATTACTGCATCAAATTTTAGATTTTAAATAGGTACAAAGTTGATTTTTTCTCTAATTTTACCTCACTAGAAAAACTATTATGATCTATTATCTAACTATCGAAAAACTATTACGAACTAGAAAATTTGAAAACATGATTTTTTTTATAACAATTGTTTCCATAAGGACAATATTTTTAAAATAATTTTATAAAAGAAAAGATTAAAATATTTAGAATAGAATATTTGAAAAACAATTTTCAAGAATTAACACTTCTCATAAGTAATGAATCGTATTTTTTTACTTTTATTAACGACTGCTAATAAAAAATGTCAGTTATACTATCTTGTTAATATTATAAAACATTTGTACAAATAAACCTTACGTAACAATCTTGTCGTAACAGTCTTGTTGTTCCTAGTTGTTTAAGACTCGTTACTTGAAAATTGTTTCGCAAATAAAAATATTTTTTCAATCTTGAAACGAATTTTGACAATCCTAAATAATAATTTATCTAGCTTTGAGAACTTTAGATATTTTTAAACTGAAAAAAAAGAAAAAAGAACAATGTTTTAAAATTATTTTGTCTTTTTCCGTTGAGGATTTTATTACCATCGATATTGTCTTTCTGAATGATCCGAAATGTCAATACTTTGAGGCTCAATTTATTTTTACTATTTGAGATTATATTTCCCTTTTTTTAGGCTATTTTCTTTCTATAGGAAACTTTTGTTCCATGTTACTCGACACCTTGTGCTTTGTTTTTCTTTTTGATTTTTTTACTTTATTGCATTTTCCAAAGATGACTTTTGACACTAATGGTGTCGTCCATAAATTACGCAAGGCTTTTAGGGGGTCCAAAAAAATGTCTTATACGAATCAAATTTATGGAAGGCCCTCAATTAACAAAAATGAATAATATTTTGTTTCCATTAAGAAATCTGCAAATAATTTCAATAAACTAATTTCAATTTTTAGGACCTAAATTCCAAAATTGGGACTTTGAGGAATATAAAAAATTACCGCACACAATATAATGGAGAATCTCTCTGTGTGAGAGAAAGGAGCTCAAGAGAGTACATGCTGCATTTCGAGATAGTCAAAGTTGAGGACAAAAGATGCACATATAAGGATCAGGGATGCAAATCGGAGAATAGCTGATTACTAAGGAACAAGACGAAGTAAGTTATTACGTGCACATACAAAGCTCTCGAGAATTTGGTGCCGAGAGAGTTTATATAGACACGAGGGTATTATATACACGTTTTCGGATGAGATGAACGATGGACGGAAGCGAGGAAGCCTAGCTTCAAAAGCAAATTAGATCTTGTAGACGCCGTCACGATCAGATCCTGATCTTCCCCGGAACATGGGACAAAAGCTCTAAATTGAATTTTCAAATTGAATTCCACTCAATTGCAATCTAATTCTTTCGTCTACTTGTAAAAAAACAAAACTCCCCTCTCACTCCTCTTTTCTTTTTGTTTACTCTCAAAGTTCCAAAATCAGAGATCACAGTAATTTTTTCATGTAATATCAGGTAAAAAAGGGAACTTTGTTTAAAAAAAAGGAATTTTTAAATATTCAGTAAAATTTATTGTATTATAGCTTATAAAATTTATTTTTAATTTTTATTTTACTTTTTCTTTTAACTTCAGTATTTTTAAATCAAATTATTTTTTCTTCAACTTTTTCTGTTAATTATCGATATTTTTTTATAATCTGTCACTTTCTTTAAATTTTTAATTAAAATTTTTATTCCAATGTTACTTTTGTTCTAAAATTACATGAATTTTACGAAATACGAAGTAAATTTCAGAAAAAAATTAGTATAACTATAACATGGGACTTGGAAATATTTCTTTCAAAAATATTAAAATTTAATAATTAAAAATTATTTCCAAAATAACTTTTACTATTTTAAAAGACACATTTTTTATAAAAATACGAAAAATTTATTTCAAAAATACTAAAATTTACTCTAAAAATAAAAATTTAACTAACTGTGATCCCTGACAAATTTACTAAAAAAAGTTGTAATTTTTGTTTTTACTCCCCTCCCTCCCTCCTCTTTTCTTTTTCTATTTCTCCTAAAAATTCCAAAATTTACTAAAAAGATTTAAATTTTTGTTTTTACTTGAAAAAATAATAGGACAACTTTGATATGTATGAAAATTAATTAAAACAAATGTAAAAATCAAGGAAACATGTAAAATGGGACATCTGTAAAATTGGTTCATAAACTACTCATAATGAAAGTAGCGTAGAATAGTGTTTATGTTTCTACACTGGTAACTGTACTTAACAAGTTCGAAACTCGGTAAGATTTTTTTTTTCTTCTACTGTTCATAAATAACTTTTTATACATGCTTTAATAAATTAAATATTATATTGTACTATTTACTAATTACTAATTACTAATGACTAATTACTATTTACTAAATACTAGAAATAAACTTTCCTTATTGTAAAATAGAATATTGTATTAAAATATACTTAATTTAGTGTATAACTTGACGTATTTCAATTATTAAAAAATAATTTTCGCTTCAATTTATTTATTAATTGAGTAATAAATTTCATAGCCCTTTCCAATGGGATTACACTTCATTAGCAATTATAATTTATTCAAAACGGATAATTAAAAATTTTTTAATTAGCACATCCGTTGATAAAATTGTAAATAATTGACGAACTATATTTACTATCACTATAATTTATGATTTCTTTATCAATAATCAAAAATAATTTTATCATTCTCTTTCTCTCTAGATCATTAATTCTATAAAAGAAACTACTTAATTTAAAAGTGCGCAAATTACAAGGTTTTTACCACTGAAACTTGTTTCTTTTTTCAGTTGGTTTTTTCAAAAATTTAAAAACTTGTGGATAAGAAAAAAAACGTTTTTTTTAATTAAACTGAATCCAGAAGTAAAGCAAGTAATTAAATGCATCTGGCGAAATTAAAAACATAAACAACTTTCTAAAAAGAAAAATCTTATCTTTACCGGCGGATAAAAATAATTAATCGTTAACTCAATTGTTTCATTCTACAAAAGTTCAAACTTCCTTGATTACTTTAGCAGCATTTTAATTATTAATAAGAGAAATTTTTTAAAATATTTGTATTGCAAGGAGCAAGGTTGCCATTATTCAGACCCATTTTTAAATTCTAAATATAATGTTTCTTTTGTGTTTATATTTTAAAATTTTTAATTGTAATTAATATAATTATACATTTTCATTTTGGAAATTAAATCAGAAGATAAAAAACTTAGAATCGAGATTTAAAATTTATAAACGGGAATTTTATTTTAATCCTACACGAACAAAAGAAAAAGAAACCCGTTTGTTCACCTTTCCTGACGTTGTCTGATTGTGAACAAGTATTGGTTGTAAACAGAAAGCACGCATCTAACGCGTGCACATCAGGGTCTGGTTATAAATAGAAGGTGGGTTCCCTAAAGCTGTGCAATAAAGAGAAAAAAAATAACACACTCACTCCTCCACGTGAAATTATCAATAAGAGAATTGAATCAAGGTTAAATTAATTTCACTAAATTTTCGTTCAAGCAAAAATAAAAGTTTACAATCACCCAGAGTAATTAAGTTGCGAAAAAAATCCTCTTGGAAAAAATTGCACTGATAATAATTTTAAAATAATTTTTAAAAAAATAAATTATTACCTAATTAAGGTAATTTTAAAATAAAGTAGAAAACAAAGAAAACAAAAATAGAAATAAAAGAGAAACAAAAATAGAATTAAAAAACAATTGAGTTTGAGGAATAGACATTCAACCATAACAATGAAATGCAATTTTCTCCAAAGTAGCTATATAAATTATAAGGAATCAATAAAGTCTTGAGAGAAATAAATTCTAACCTAACGAAGTAAAAAAATATAAATGTCACTGACCTTTTCAAGACACTCCTGACCAATTGCCCTGGGGTCTACCTGCACCTCGAGAATCACCGAGTTGGCCTGACTAATGAGACACCACATTTTTTTATTTTTATTTCCTCTTTTCCGAATTCAAATTTTCCTCAAGATGTCAAAAAAAAAAAATCTAATTTCCTCTCTTGGTTCCTTGGTAATGCATGAAAAAGCCCTCGAGCATTTAATTACTTGAAAAAAAACCAAAACCAAAACACACGTCACAACACGGTATACGATTTTAATTTCGACTAGACTCTTGTCTCCGGAATCGCGGATGGTCGGCGACCGGCTTTACCTGACGTGCTTCTTGTCATAACAAATTAAATAAACAATTGACCTCGGAATAATGTCACTTCGCGAAATCCCGCAACCTCCTTTTCGTAATACGACAAAGACAATGACAACAATCGCGAACTTGTGCTCGTAAAAACAAAACGTGTCGCGTCGACTTCCATTTCTCGATGCGGAATGGCATGAACTGTTCTCTCTCTCCGTTACTAGAATTAGTTCGCCAAATTGAATAACCTTTCTTCCCTACATCAAATGGCGCTAGTGCTCCTAACCTCTACTCTCTCTCTCTCTTTGTATATATACATGCACTTGTGTATTTCCGTATAAACACACGACGACACTGCCTTTCAAATGTATTTTCCAGTATAAAGAATAGTAGATTACATTTTCCATGTGTTGGAATGAAAATACACCTGTACATACCAGCTGATTTGAATTCTACAACCACCGCCATGTTGTTTTCTAATGTCACTCCATTAACAGCGAATCAGAAACGATAAATACTCTTCTGTCCAATCAGAACGTTTATTGCAGTTTTCGCGCGCAAAGGGCGGGAACTTGAATTCAAATTTGAAATATTGTGCGTTCTCTTTTCTTTTAAGTTAAATCAAGGTGGTGCTTATTTACAATGATATTTGTTATTTAAAGTTACAATTGAACAAATTTTAAATAATTGAAATTTAGTAAAGTTTTTTCAAAATAATTGAATTGTTTAGAAAATTTTTAAAAATAATCAAGTTTTTGAAAAATTATAATTATAAATACGAAAAAATATGTTTTTTCCAACATTTCAATTCTTTTTTTTTCAATTTTACAAAAATTAAGATAAAAACATTCTAGGAAGTAGTTTTTTAAAAATACTGTTTTTCAATTTTTTGAAAATAATTGAATAATTTAAAAAAAGTAATAAATTTCTTAAAAAAATTTTCATTAAAAATATTGAAATTGAATTTTTTCTTCAAATCTTTAATAATAATTCTAAAAAACTACATTTTTTGAAAATTTCAATCAAATTATTCTTGTAAATATTTTAATTTTTGGAAATATTTGATTAAAGCAATTGAAAATAATCGATTTTTAAATAAGTTTAAGTAAGTTTATACCATTTTGTACATACCAGAAAATTGTCGAGGGTTGTCAGCATCATTGATTACGATTGATCTTCCAATTTGTCGGAATGAAGGTTGGAAGGGTATTAATATACTACTATTGTAGCAAACATCCAAATTACGGGGAACTACACACACCTGTCAACAATTCATTTTTTATTAAAGTTTCTGGTTACGAATTTACTGTCAAGTTTATAGAAAAAATTTAAATTTTATAGCAATACACTCAAATATATGTTAACACGCACAGTGAAGAAAGGTAGCTAATCAGAAAATTCTAGGTTATGTTTGCAATTTTTAGAATAAAAAAAACAATAAAGTTCAACTCCTAATATAAAAAAACTGATGTTTAAGTTTAAAAATAATTACTAAAAACTATAATAATAAAACCAAAAAGTTTTTCTGCATATATCAAAATTGAGACAAAAAACGAATCAAAAGTATTGCTCGCAACATTTTTGATTCGTTTTTTGTCTCAATTTTGATATCTGCAGAAAAACACTGAAGATAAAAATAAGACAAACATAACCTTAAAATTCTTCGCTTCTTATGTACCTTTCTTCAGTGTGCATCGAATTTCTAAAAATCGGCCGTTTTTTTAAATGCAAGGGGATTTCCTGTCTATCGCTGATTCTTTTTCTACATTTTTTCTACTCATCGATTCGCTAATATCTACTTTTTCTAAACCTCTCACTCTCAATATAAATAAAAAAAATTTGTTTTTCCTTTTTTGTTTCGGTTTTATTTTGAACACTAATACTGTACACAGATTCAATCCTCGGAAATACAGCAGATACACATGAGGTAGAGTCTACGGGCTTATTTTGCACATAACAAAGCAATTAAGTGCGATAACAATTAAAAAAAAAGAAATTAAAAAAACTGGTACATCGTCGCGAGGTTCACAAAATTGGGAGCTGCGTGAACCCCGAAAGGTTGTACACATAATTATATAATAAAAATTTGTCCTCGATGTTAGATGAAGATTATTAATAATAATGCGGGAAACGACACCTATATAATACGATACATTTACTAATATAATACGATTTTACTAAAAACCACCACCGTAAAATTATATATATATTAGATTTTAATATCTAGCATTAATATATACTCTCAAAGCCAAACTAAGAGGCAGTTTTTTTTCTTGACAACGAACAGTGCATAAACATTATTCACTGTGTTTTTTTTTAATATATATAACAATATTATGTAATTGCATAACGTCTAAAGCAAATTCTCAAACTGTTTATTTTTTCTCTCTTTAATAAGCTCTAAAAACTTGAAACAGGATTAAGAATTTATATACTTATTGTCCTGAAAAACTATGGAATTAATAACTGCAAAACGAATTGTAGTTTGAGTATCGGCAAAAAACTAATTAACACTTGTTATATTTTAACTTTTTTTACGATGAGAGATAAGTCTAGAGATATGATATTTCAGGGGGTATATAATATTTAATGTACATTTATATTGTACTTATAGACTTTTTTGTATTATATATATATATTTTTTTATATTTATGTATATATTTTTTTAGGGGGTATTTATATGTTATTCTTAGGCCTTGTGTGTTTAAGCATCAGCGCGATAATTCTTGTGCAGCTCGGGCTTGATATCGTAAACCAATCCCAAGATTTCCATCATTACCTGAAGACATTTTTTTTTATTAATAATAAATTACTTGTGATTCTTGTGATTTAGAAAAATGATATTTTCTTTATTATTTTTATAAATGTAATGATTTTTTTCTTAAGAAGGAAAAACAAAATTCATTGGCAAAAAAAATTCAAACAATCATTGATAAATTAATTATCAATTAACTATTATGATAAATATTATAATAATTAATTAATAATTAATAAAAGTTGGGTAATAAATTTTCATTGAGATATTTGTGGCTCTTTAGAAATCAAGTTTCCTGATATTTTCCTTTTTCCTTACAATTTACTGACGCTAAAATTATTTTTCCTAACGAAATTTTTTTAACAGGGAAAAGAGTAAAATTTAAATTATTTTCTACAATTTTTAACTAAACTTTATCTCTAAATCAACTATTTTAAATAATTTTCAAAAATTTATTCCAGAATTGAATTATTTAAATACAAAAACACAATTTTTTATAATTGTAACTGTCCATGTTTTTTCTTAAATTATTAAGTTATTATATTATTAATAATATTAATAATTTAATATTTTCAAAAAAAAAAATTTATTGTAATTGAAAACACGGAATTATTGATAATTCAATTATTTTTTAAATTTGCAATTAATATTTTTCAGAATTTGATTTTCATCAAAATTATAACAAAATACTTGAAAAAATTAATTATTTTCAATTAGATTTTACTAAATTTCCAATTCGCAAAACGATTTGTATTATATTTAAAAAAATTTAATTATCTGGAAAAATGATTAAAAAATAATTGAAAGATTTGTTTATAGTTATTTTTCGAACTATGAAAATCGAAATAAGTTGCATTTTATACTAATATTTGCAATATTTGGAAGAAAAGTCGCAATTTTTGAAAATAAGTAAAAAAAAAGTCAATTCTCTTAATATCCCTGACAAAAAATTTTTTTCCTGATATTTTCCTGACAAAAATTTTATATTTCTGACGTCGAAGAGTGATTTTTAATATTATATTAAAAATCAACAAGTGACGTAACCTAAAAACTATGTTCGAGTCACGCATTTCTGTTTTCACTACATAGAATGGAAAATACTCTCTACTAATTATAATTTCATTCTAAAATCATTATAGACGCATTAAAACAAGAATAAATCAAGTAAAAAGATAGAAAATTTGATGTTAAATTACAAAAAATCCGGTTAAAAATAAAGGAAAATTCTGTAAAAAATTCTCGTTAAACGCATCAAAAATCACATTTTTTTACATATTTCGAAAAGAAAATAAGGATAAAAGATGAATAAAATACTAATTTGTTTCTATTTTCATAATTTTGACTTACCAAATCACTTGAAAATATACTTTATGAGCTTTATGACTTTATTTCTTCGAAAATTTAATGAACACAAAGAGACATAACCTCAAAATCGGTACATTATTCATACACATATTTCTTTACTGTAAACTTGTGAATCCACTCCAATAATTATGTAATCGTTTTCAAAAAACCTTTAAATATTCGAATAATAGTAGAAAAACGTTTACAACATGTTTTTTTTAATAAAAAAAAACCAACTGTGCCTAGCGTCGACAATCCAAAATCGTCATTCTCGTCGATTCACAGATCAATGCAGGGTTGGGTAGATAAAAAATCGAGCATAATGCTTTAAGGTTCTTTTACAATATGTCTCAAATAAAAGTTCATTCATATTTTTCTATTAGTTAATGTTATATAAAGATGAGTTCTTATTTTTAATAGGAATATTAAAAGCATTAAAAATATCCAAGAATAAAAATCAAATTATTTAATTTACCGAGTATTTACAGTCCTCACGTCAGGTAATAAAATAAGTGAATGAAGTAAATTCACAACTTTTGATACAAATAAAGGTTAATTCAGAATTTATCAACTATTATTGGGCATTTTAATAATTTCAAAGGTTTATTCACAATTTTTTAATTAGCTTTTTGCATTTAATAATCATAAAGGTTCATTCAATTTTGTAATTAACTTTTGACGCTTTTGGCAATTAATAATCATAAAGGTTCATTCAGAATTTTTCAATTATGTTTTGACGCTTTTGGCATTTGATAAATTCACATTTGTTTAATTCTTTAATTATTGTTTTTTATTATTGTTTTGGCGTTTTTGGCATTTAATAATCATAAAGGTCCATTCACAATTGTTTTAAATTAGCTTTTTGCGCTATTGGCATTTAATAATCTTAAAGGTGCATTCACAATTTTTTAAATTAGCTTTTTGCGCTATTGGCATTTAATAATCATAAATGTCCATTCACAATTGTGTTTAATTAGCTTTTTGCGATTTGCGCTATTGATTTGGCATTTAATCATCATAAAGATTAATTCATAATTTTTTAAATTGTCAATCGCTATGTAAAAAAATCATTTTTCACTAAATTCGACACAAATATCTCAATGTTATTCACAGAAAATTCAATGTCCTTGAAAAATTTTCTACAGTAAATTAATTTATTGACAAAAAAAAATGAAATATAAAGTAATTTCAATAAAAATGGAATAAAATAATAAAGAATTTATTTTAATATTATACTTACGGCTGGCTTGTGTACAGATATTTTTGTATTCATCTCCTCGATCTTCATCATTGTATCTGCATCAATGCGAGCAGCAACATCCTCTTTTGAGCCCATGTGCTAATTAATTAAATTATTTTAATTTTTTTCTATTTTCATTCAAAAATAATTTAAAATTAAAAAAAAATTTTTAAATTATTAAAAACTTTATTTTTAAATAAATGTAAAGAAAATATAATTGCAAAAATTGAATTATTTATAGGTATTTAAATTTAAACAAAATTTATTTTTTAAAATTGTAATTTTCAGAAATTGGCAAAAATATAATTGCTTACTTTGGCCTCGAATTCACGGAATTGCTTTTCTCGCTCTTCCCTGTATTTTTCGATCTCATCATGAGCCTCTTTTTTGGCTTGTTTAAGACGCTGGGCCTTGCCTTAAAAAAATAATTACATTACTTCTTGTATGAAGATTTAATTTTTACCAAAATTACAATAATAGCAAAAAAACAATAAAATATTTTTAAAAAATTTCCGAAGAAAACTTATTTAATGGAAGTTAAAAATTGAAAATATAATTATTTATTGTTTATCTCTATATTTGTTTAATTACATTGACCCACCCTTTTTTTAAAACAAACAGTAACTTCAAAATTGCCCACGTGGTGTCACGAGATTACACTCTCTATTCACGTAATATCACCATAGGCGTAAAGTAAAAAAAAATCAATAGAATTATATAGGTTTCTGAATAATCAATGGAGAAGGAAATAATTCCACGAAAATGCTTTACCAACATTTTCAGGAACAGGGTCAACTATATTTCGGTACAAAAAGACTTATTTACACACCATTTTTGCCGAACACACAGACATTATATGAAAAAATAACTTTGAAAAATGCAAAAAAAACGTATTTTTTAATAAATATAATAATTCTCTCTTCTTGTGTATCATAAAAAAGAAAAAACACTACTTACGTTTACGAGCCTCGGAAACTTTTTCGGCTGCTCGCTTTTCAGCAGCTAAAAGCTGTTGAATTCCTTGCGTTTGACTTGCCATCTTAACGATGGAGCCTGCGATGTAATAATGAAGAAAATCACTAATCTATGTCAAAATGCAGCAGCAAGTAAGCAGGAAAAATTCCACACACAAACACACAGACACAAAACACTAAGGAATCAGAATCACTAATCGATCATATGACTCGGCGATGTTTCCTCTGTTCGCCTTTTTTCACGACGTGGCGCTGCAATCGACCACGTGGTCTCACGTGAGCGCCACTGCCTACTTTTTGAATTTTCCCGCCATTTTACATTTTCTTTTTGCAATCAAGAAAAAAGGAAAATAAAAAATTAATTTTTAAATATTAATCAATATTTACAATTGTAGAAAGTAAATGCAGATTCCTGTAATCTTTTTTAAATAAAAAACAATTTTTCAGGTCTAAATAATAAAAAAAATGTATAAAAAAAATAAAATGTAAAAATAAAAGTAAAAAAAAAATGCTGATTATTATTATTAATTTAAACAATTTTCTTTTCAATATTGTAAAAATAAAGTATTAAAAAAAATTAATTAACAATTAGAACATTTTTATTTATTTATTTTAATTTAATTGTTTAACATAATTTTATTTTATTTATTTTCTTACTTTCTTGTAAGAATTTTAAATTTTAAATGAATTTTAAATGTAAATATTTCAAAATAATTAAATTCTTTCGAGGAATTCTATTAAAATTGTTTTGAAAAGAATTGAATTTCTGCAAAAAATTTTACTATTTATAAAAATAATTGAATTCTTGCTATGAATTATATTAAAATTTTTAAAAATACAAACAATAATAATTGAATCTTTAAAATTTTTGATTATGAAATTATTTAAAATTTATAAATTAAAAATTGAAAAATTAGAAATTAAAGCAAAAATACGAAAAGTACAAAATAATATATATTTCAATGTTTATTGATTTTTAGTAATTATTTTCATCAATTATTATTAATTTATTTATTAACTAGATTTATTCTAAATATTTTAATTGTATAAAATATCAAATATTTGATAAAAAATATCCATAAAGAAAAAAAATAAAGAAACCTTTATTTACTAACTTTTAAACTAAACGATTTCCCTGAATATTTATTCTATTATTCAACATTATTTTCTCCTGTCGTTTCTTCTCCTCCTTAAATGCTTCTGCATTTGCCTTACGTTCAATTCGTCGTTCCTTTCGATATTCTTTTAATGCTTTTTTCCTCTCCTTTCTCTCCTCTGGTGTCTCGTCCTTTGGTCTTACACTCAATTCACTAACAATTGATCTCATTGTTTCAGCAATAGATTGCGCTCCACTTCTTTCATCACGATCATTATTAATTCGATCGAATTGCGCTAAATTTTTCGCCGTTAATTTACCACCAGGACCATCTAATACATCTTTTGGTATTCCAGTTTTGGAATTAATTTTTATTTTACCCAATTTTTCACCGCGAGGCTCGACAATTATCTTTGGATGATTGTAAATATTACTGTAAGTTGTTAAAACACTTTCGCAATCCCATTTTTCATTCTCTGAATTATTGACAACAATTTTTACATTATTTGTCGTCTCATCGTCATCGGAATTTGAATTCTCGTCGTCGTCGTTTATTTTCATTCTTTCTTTTATTAATTTCGCTATGTCCTTTGACTCGCTTTCCTTTAAATAAGAAAAATAATAGTATTAGTTTATTTTAGTAGTTTTATTTATTTAGTTTTATTATTATTTTAGTTAATTACAAAATTTAACTAATTTCAAAAAAATTTGAATTATTCACATTTTTCAAAAATCCAAGTTTTTTAAAATTTCTTATAAAATTCATTCAAAATTCTATTTTTATAAAGTTTTAAATTAAAACCTTTTGAAGGTTTTACCTTTACGAAGGTTATAAACGCATTTTTTTTAAAATTCAATTAATTTCTAAATATTTAAGTAAAATAAATCGATTAAATAATTTATAAGTAATAATGATTGTAATTTTAAAAAATGGTTTGAAAGATTGAAAATTTAGAAATTACCTGTTGTTTTTGTTCGTTTTTGAATTTTTCCACGTGTCTCAATAAAAGATCCATATCAGGATCGCAATTACCGTCGATTTCTTCGCCTTCGAGTGCGCCAATTTCACTGTCATCATACTCGGCATACATCTTTGTTAAAATTAAAAAGAAATAGTCAGTAATAAATATTAAAATAAACCTTAAATATACCTAATGATTTAAGAAGCAAAATTAATTTGCATTTTAATTTAATATTTCAAAGTAATGAACTTGCTCTTTAATTTAATATTTCAAAGTAATTAATTTGCTTCTTGATTTAATTCCAAATAAGTGAATTTCCACCTTTTCGAATCGATCATCGAGCAATGTAAGTTGATTGTTACGTCTCATGACACTACTGCTCATCGAATATTCAGTGAAACGTGATCTTGTCTCCTCATCTCTGAATGTAAATTGTCCACCATGGAGACTACCGACTTCATCTCCTTCTTCATCGGAAATCTCCATATGACCGCACGAATCATCATCATCCTCCTCATCCTCATCATAATCCTCCTCATCTTCATCATATTCGCCATCTTAAAAATTAAAAGCAAAAAAATAAATTTCTTTTCCAATTATTGACAATAAAAAAGATTTTCTAATTAATTATTTTGTTCCCAATTTTACCTTCTTCGGGAATTTCACCCTCTTTCAAAGCACCACCAGCCAATGCAATGAAATCTTCCTCAAAATCACAATCAGAATCCTCGGGATTATCATGATTGTAATCGTCTTCAAATGTTGCGACAATATCAGGATCTAAATCTAATTGAAGACCCTTTGGAATTGCACGATTTAATAAACCAATTTTCTCCTCTTCGGCAGATTCAAATATTTTTGCAGGTAAATTAAATTTTGTTTTATCAATTTCCTTCTTTGTTGAACTATTACTGTTTTCAATTCTTTCCCATTCGGTTGATTGTTTCTCGCTACTGCGTAAATGTTGCATATAATCGTAATCATCATCGAAAAGAATTCCATATTTTTCCTGTTCCTCCTTACGTTTGTCGGCGTCTTTTTTCAAATGTTTCGCCGCTTGAGTATCGACGAGAGGACGTAATATACGTAGTGGAGCATCATCGTCGGCAATTAAAGGATCTCTCTGCGAGCGATGCACCAATTGAAATGTCACCGAATTCTTTTTATCGATAAATTTCTTTGACTTTCCCTTCGGCTGTAACAATAATAATATTAATTTCATTCTAAAGTTAATTCTAATGATTCTAATTTCTAAATCTAAATAATTCATTTCATTTAACGTTTAAAAAATCTAAATCTACGTCGTTAAAAATTAAGTGTTTGGATGATACATATGCAAGAAAAAAATACTCTTTCATTAAATATTTTAATAATTTTGCTTGTAAAGTAAGTAGATATAAATAAATTCGATATATTTTCATCATAATAAAAATAATTAACAAAAAATAACGTAACCTCTAAAGAATGAAATATGTTTATTTGTTTACTTACCATGTTTATGTTCTATGAATATATAATTTCATATATTTCTTCAAAAAAACTAAAGAAAAATTGTTATATTCAACAAAGCACTGTACAATATTGTTTAGATTTGTTTTTTAATTCACCTTTCATTTAATTTTAACAAAAAAGAACGAACCAAAGAACACATGTGAGTCAGTGGTTCTCATTGGGGTGCTACTCTCTGTACCAAAAACATAAGTTCGAATGCTCATTATGCCGAATTTACAATTTAGAAATGACCAGATACGCGAATCCTCAATAACCTAAATTGTATATTGAATGAAATTCAAAAGTAGGGAATAATCATTTGATATATTCTGCATATGGAGAATATTATTTTAAACTAATTCTTTTTTTCCACAATTTGAAATTATTGCAATTTTTATTTTTGGAATTTCCACTTTACCTACATTTTAATAGATCGAAACGTAAAATATCAGAATTGACATTTAATTGAAATATGATGGAGAATAAATATATATTCACTGAATAAAAAGATTAAATAATTATTAAATGTTTGAATTTAATAAAAACATATTGTTCAAAAGTTACAGTGCGAATTGTACAGAATATATATTAATAAGAAATATAATTTGGCAGAATGTCGATTCGATCGATTTTATATTTGCAAGAAATTCAATTTGACAGAATATCAATTTATAAGAAACACGTTTTCGTAGAACTTTAACTTGTCAGAATTGTAATTTTGTAGAATATTAATATTGGCAAATCTAATTTTGGTAGAAATCTGCTTTATCAGAATGATCACATGTTCGAATCCTCAAAAGTTAGAATTCCATTTTTACCGAAAATGGATTCCACATAAATATTTGGCGCAAATTTTAAAATCGACCAATCAGAAATCAGAATTTTAAAATTTGCGCCAAATATTTATGTGGAATCCATTTTCGGTAAAAATGGAATTCTAACTTTTGAGGATTCGAACATGTGATCATTCTGATAAAGCAGATTTCTACCAAAATTAGATTTGCCAATATTAATATTCTACAAAATTACAATTCTGACAAGTTAAAGTTCTACGAAAACGTGTTTCTTATAAATTGATATTCTGTCAAATTGAATTTCTTGCAAATATAAAATCGATCGAATCGACATTCTGCCAAATTATATTTCTTATTAATATATATTCTGTACAATTCGCACTGTAACTTTTGAACAATATGTTTTTATTAAATTCAAACATTTAATAATTATTTAATCTTTTTATTCAGTGAATATATATTTATTCTCCATCATATTTCAATTAAATGTCAATTCTGATATTTTACGTTTCGATCTATTAAAATGTAGGTAAAGTGGAAATTCCAAAAATAAAAATTGCAATAATTTCAAATTGTGGAAAAAAAGAATTAGTTTAAAATAATATTCTCCATATGCAGAATATATCAAATGATTATTCCCTACTTTTGAATTTCATTCAATATACAATTTAGGTTATTGAGGATTCGCGTATCTGGTCATTTCTAAATTGTAAATTCGGCATAATGAGCATTCGAACTTATGTTTTTGGTACAGAGGGTAGCACCCCGTTCTCATTTTTTAAATAACAAGAGCTACCGAACCCTGACATTCATTATTGCGCATGCGTCACAACAATAAGGTAGTTCAAGTTGGGTGGGGGAAATCCAATATGGCTGACATCAGCTGATTTACCGGAGGACAAACAATGCATTGAATTCAATGGGACAAATCAGTTTTTTAACCATAACTTTTTAAATATTCATTTTTGAACCATAGTGTAATGGAAAATTATTCTTTATTTATCGAAATCTATTTTTTAAAACAATAAAATTTAATTTTTTGGTTTTATTGTTTTAAAAAATAGATTTCGATAAATAAAGAATAATTTTCCATTACACTATGGTTCAAAAATGAATATTTAAAAAGTTATGGTTAAAAAACTGATTTGTCCCATTGAATTCAATGCATTGTTTGTCCTCCGGTAAATCAGCTGATGTCAGCCATATTGGATTTCCCCCACCCAACTTGAACTACCTTATTTGAGGGAAATTTAAATTAAGTTCTACAAAAGTTATTAGTATTTTTTATTATTTTAAATAAATAATAAATAGGTATCTAAATAAATTTTAACTGCAAAATAAAATTGTTAAAAAATATAATAATAAAATCTGAAAAATGTAAATTAAGCTAAAAAATCAGTATTGTTATTTAAAATAAATAATAAATCAATACAATTAAATGTAAACCAAGTATTAAATAAATAATAAATAAAATTGAATGTTTAATAAATAATTAACAAACATAATAATTGAATTTGTTCAAAAAATATTATTTAAAATTTTTTTAAATTGAATTGTTTTAAAGGATTTATTAAAATTTAAAAAAATAATTGAACTTGTTTGAAAAATGATATTAAAAATTTTTTTAAAATTGAATTCTTTCATGAAATGTTATTAAAATTGTATTAAAAATAATTGAATTTTTGCAAAGAAATTTACTATTTAAAAAAATAGTTGAATTGCTTCGAAAGGTTTATTTAAATTTTAGAAAATAATTGTATTCATTCCTGAAATTTTATTAAATAAAATTTTGTTTAAAAACATTTGAATTTTTGCAAAAAAGTTTACTATTTATAAAAATAATTGAATTCTTGATAAAAATATGATTATTTATTATGTAGTAGATAGTTGAATTCTTTCGAAGAATTTTATTAAAATTTTTGAAATTAATAAACAAGAATAATTAATTAGTAAATTAGTTAATAATTGAATTTTTTAAAATTTTCATTTAAAGAAAATAATATTCAGATAAATAATTTTCCAAAGTTTTATTACAAAAATGTAGCGACATTTTTTTTTCTTTTACAAAATTTAAATGACTCTTGTAATAAACTTATATTGACGAGAAATTGTTATTAGCCTGAGAAATGTTACAATTCTCTAAATTGCAATGTTTTGCATCTATATATATTTATTTTTTTTTAAATTATAACCACTATATAAAAAACAATAATTTACTCGTAATATAAACCTAAACGCTTAAAAATAACGAGTAAAGTTTATTATCAGAATTTTTAAAATAACAAAAATTCCAGTAGAATTATCAAAAGAATATTTACATAAGAAGCTTAAAATATGTACACAAGTTTTGAAAAATTATAATAATACTTATAAAGAAAAAAAAAAAAATAATTAAAAATTTCAAAATTTAAATTTTCTTTTTTTAAATCTATATTTCAATGTGAGCAATTAATTGATTTTTGAGAAGAAATTTGAAGAAAAATAATACACGTATTTTATTGTTTCAAAATTTCTCTCAATATTTGCAAAAGGAAATTTGCAGAAAAAAATGGGGGAAAACTTACTCAATATTTAAAATTTCTGGTTGTCGGGGAAAACCGCGAAAAAATCGTTCTTGATTTTCTAATTCAGCACTTGAATCGTGATTGGCAAATTCTTGAAGAACGATTAATTCTTCATCGCTATTGTTGGTGAATATCCGTTTTGATAAATCCGATTTATGATGATTCTCGATAAAATTATTACTATTTTGTGATTTTAAAAAATCTTCATCTTCAAGATCGTAGATGAAATCTTTATCAACAGGTTTCACGCGACTTCTAACTGGTCGTTGAATTTGTGAATTTTCACTGCTAAATGATTCTCGTCTACGCGTTGATGATACTTCCGTAATTTTGTCATTAATTTTAGCAGGCGCCGAACGTCTTTCATTTTTCCTTGGACGACCACGTTTCTTCTTCTCCTTCGTCTCTTCTTTCTTCGCCTGTGATTTTGATCGTTCACTTTTATTTTCGCTTCGCGTCGTATTCATCGACTGGGAAAATGAATCATCATTGTCCTCAGACATTCTATTCTCCATTCGCGAACGACTTCTTGTCATTATTCGCGATTCACTTCTCACTTGCATTTGGGAATTTGATCGCATCGACGATCGTGAACGACTTCGAGATGATTTCCTCCTCTTCTTTCCACTATCAGAATCGCCTCTGTACAATTCGCAAGTAATTTCATCTTCCTCGTCGTCAGTATTTATTTTTTTACTCAATCTCGAGCTACTTCTTAATACCATACAGGAAGATTCATCACTATCTGATGATGGTGACAAATTATTTTCACGATTCCAAGGATCTGATTTCTTATTGCTGGGGAAAAGATTAGAGAATTCTGTAGCAGCAAAATTGGAACTGTAGCCATTAATTTCTTCATCATTACGAATTCGTCGGAAATGATTATTTTCCAAACGCGACTCTCCATTCACTTTCGATGTCGATGCTTCGGATGTGGAATTTTTTCCAACAACAATTTCTTGAATTAATTCAGGAAGATTTGGATTTGAGTCTATTTTTCGATTTATAGTTTCTCTGTCCTCTAGTTCTGGATCCGTATCAGACGGGTTTCTCACTTCCGAATTTATTTTTACATTATTGTAAGTGCGCATTAATTCTAAAACAGAAAAAAAATTTTTTTATGTTAATCAAAGTTGCCATAAAAATTTAATTTTGTTTTTCCCTGATTTTCAGACAAAAATTTAACTTTTTTCCTAACCCTCAAGAATATTCTGATTCATTCTAAAAATTATTAAATACTTAAAAAAAAATGTTCTAATACATTTGCGAATTTCTTTAGTTACAAAATTACACGAAAACATCAATAATATTTTTAAATAAATAAATTTTTAAATAATAAATTACTTGATTGAAATCCTGCGATGAGTTCTATTTATGAAAATAATTGAATTTTTGCGAAGAAATTTATAAAAAAAATTTTAAATAGTTCCTGTGAAATTTTTATTATTTATAAGAAAATTCCATCTATGTCAGAAGGTTGGGGTACTTTTGAACATTTACTACTAGAATGTGAAGTAACAAAACAATGGACCGAAGGATTTTTGGAAGGTGTGAATGATAAAATTAAGGTACACTCAAATCTCGCTATAACGACCTTCTCTATAACGAGCGCTCTCTATAACGAGGGCTCTGTCTCTCGGTATAGCGAGAAAAATTTCCTCCTGATTACCCCCACTATTTATAAACAAATGCACATTCAGTTGGATTAAATTTGGTTAAAATCAATATTATTTATATAAAATAAAAATAAAAAAAGTCATAAAAAGTCACTTCTTATTTGAAATTATATCAATGAGTCGAATATCTTCAAAATTTTAGCTTATATAAATTTCTGTATGTTAAAGTTCAAATTAAACTAGGTTACGTTTGTAATTTTGACATTATAAAAATTGTAAACACTAAAAAAAAATGAATGAAGAATTGCGCTCGTAATAGAGGGAGACTTGACTCCCGAACTTCTCGTTATAGCGAGATTCGAGTGTATTAACAAATGAAGATGGTAGGATAGAAGTTAGTAGAGTTTTTAAGCATATTGTAAAACAAATAAAAGTGAAAGAATAATGGATGAAAGGAATGGATAATAATATGTAAAGATGGGTGTAAATTCATGTAAGGAAGTGACGTTAAATGTAATGTATATACGTGTGAATTATTGTGAATGTAAATTTAAATATGATATGATATAATGTAAAATAAATGTAAACCAAGTCCGTTTCTGGGCCAATAGGCTGAAATAAAGATATTATATATAAGAAAATTCCATGAGAATTTACTTATTTAAATACAAAAATAAATGATTTATTGAATAATTGTATGTTTCTTAAAATTGAATTCTCATGAAATTCTCATAAAGTATTTTATCAACAAATATTTAAATAATTAAATTCTTTCGACGAATTTTAATAAAATTTTTTAGAATATTTACATTTTTCGAGTAATCGAATTAAAATAATTGAAATTATGCGATGAGTTTTATTATTTATGAAAATAATTGAAATAATGTGAAGAAATTTATAAAAAATTTGTTATTAAATTTTTTTTAAATATTTAATTTTTTTTTAAATGTTACAAAAATAGTAAATATTGAAAATGATTGAATTGTGGAAAATTTTTGAAAATAATTGAAATTTTGCCAAGAGAAATTTTATTATTTATAAAGATAATTGAACTTTTAACGAAAATTTTTTTAAATTTTTGAATATAATTTAGTTTTTGGAAAGTATTTTATTATTTTTGAAAATAATTGAATTTCTGCAATACAATAAAATTTTACAAATTGAAACCTTTTAAAGTCCATCTATTTATGAAAATTGTAAACGCATCTCTTCTAAAATTCAATTAATTTAAAAATATTATTATAATATCAAAAATGAAGTTATTTAAAAAGAAATTATTGGCAGAATTGTAAAAAATTGAAGGTTTTTTTTTCTTATGAATTCCAAAAATATATATTTTTTCCAGTACTTTTAATAAAAATTCCTCACGTTTCTCTGACCAATTCTACTTTCCCTGACTGTTCTCTGAATTTCCTGACTTCCCTGACCTGTGGCAACTCTGAATAAAAAGTAAATAAATTTGAAATTTCCCAAAAAAAATCTCTTTTTGCAAGAAATGTCTTTCTCTTTGTTTAATAAAACAAAATTTTATTTAAAAAAACTTTCTTAAAAAAATATTCTTTAATTAAAATTTTACTCACCTGTGTTAGAATTGATATTTCCAAGTTGTGAAGTGGAATTTTCCTGTCTCGCAGAATTCGAATTCAAATTTGACGGATCGACAGTTATCATTCCCTGCGATTGGGTCAATTGATACTGTGATATTTGAGAAATCATTTCATTGAGTGCTTGTCGATTATTCATTGCATTATGCACTCTATTACAATGTCCAACACAATCATTTCGACTTGTCGATTTATAATCGCATTTATTGCATTGAAAACGATTCACTTTTAAATGACCCTCCATATGTCGATTCAAACTTGTGATATTCGAAAAATTTAATCTACAGGCAATGCATTCCAATTTTGTATGGTCCGAAATTGATGCAAGTGTGGCACTAAAATGCTGTGAACTTTGATTTTGTGATTTTTTCGCTGTTTCCTTATCAGTCTCATTTTCTTGACAAGTTAGTTTCTTCAATTTTTCACCTGAAATTAAGGACAAAAATTTTATATTAAAATTAAATAAAAAATTAATTTAAAAGACAAAACGATTTGTTTGGTTTTAAAAAAATCTATATATTTTATTCTTTTAGTATAGATGGAAAAGAATATTTTAGACAAACCTATGACTGTGTTATTAATATCAGAAAATGCGGATTTCCGTTTTCTCGAGTGCTCCAAATCCAATAAATAATTCTCCACCGGGAGGATTTCGGTAATTGAAGGTTTATTTGTCTTTTTTGGACAGATAATTCTTTCTTTGTTGTTGTTGAATTTCGTTGGAGCCTCTGAAAATTGATAACGAATTTATAAATATTTTTTTTTATAAAAGCGTGTTTTTAAATAAATATATATATTAGAAAACATGAAGAAAGCGATTTAATAAAAAGCCTTGACTTTTCCCTGATTTCCCTGACTTGTGGCAACCCAAAATATTAATAAAAATAACAATAATAATACCTGCTGTGATATCCTCATTTTGAAACGTTCGACTCGGAATTTTACTCCATTCTTCTTCGCTGATTCTAGAAATAGCTTGTACTCGAATTGGCAGGCATTCTTTCCCTGAAGAAATTTCCGGCATTACTCTAGTTGGTGAATTCGGTTTCGTATCGGGTAAACTGAGAACAGGAATTTCTGCAATTTCCGTGTCGTTTATAACATTTTCCTTTAATTCAGCATCATTTTCGTAAAGGAGATAATTTATTCTCTCCTCATCTGAGCCAAGACAATTCTTCAAATGAATCACAAGTTCAGATTTGTCGTTGAAAATTTCTCCACACGAAATACATTCGTGCAATGCTTGCGAGTCTATACTCTCTACCCATTGCTGTTATTTAATTAAATTCAAATCATTAAAATTTCATGTCATTCAACTAATTTTTTATTTAATATTTATTCAAATAATTGTTCATTAAGTAAATACCTGCGTTTCTAAAGAATTGTCCACTAAATTATTAAAATTCTCTGGCTTCTTGGGTTTTTTGTTGCCAACAACGGTAAGAGGTTTTGAGCGAACAGTTCGTTTCTCTATTTGTTGGCTCAAAGTCTTCAGCTCTTGGCCAATTTTTTTATGGACTAAAAAAATTTTTCCAAATATAAATAAAAATGATTTTTGTATTATATACAAAATAAGATATAAAATACTGAAGCAAAAGTTTTCTTTTGAATGCAGCATTAGGATAATAATAATAATTACCATTCGTTAAATGACGTTTCACACCCATTGTACTGGAGAACGAAGCAGTACACGAATTACAAGGGCATAAATAGCAATCGCGTACAGCTGCATGCTTGATTCGGAAATGAGAATCAAATGTCTTCTGTGTGGTGAACGTCAAGGAACCTGGAAATATCAGAAATATTCCTTTTTAGTTTTCTATACTCTATATAATTTACTTTATAGTTTTTTCCTTCTAAAAAAACAATTGATACGTAAATTTATTTTACTTCAGTTTCGATAAAAGTAGTTAATTTCAACTGAGATTCCAATTCTTGTGATAATATACTTACATATTTCGCAGACCAATCTATTGGATTCGTCATCGCCATAAAACTGTACCGGACTGTCACTTTTTTCGAATTGTCCATCAGCTCTCAGAACAACACTGTCTTGGTTCAAAATATTTTCGAGTTCGATCACCTGAAATATATTAAGCATTAATAAGATATCAATTATTAAATTTAACGTTGATAATAATTTATATGAAACGGCAATTTTTTAAATTCATTTTAAAATGTGAACTGTGAATTTTTAAAAGATTTCAGATTCAAAATTATGAAAGAAGTTAATTTCAACAAAAACTCAATTAAACTTTTTAAAAACAATTAATTCTACAAAAATTGTTAATTAAAAGTAAGAAAAATTTAGATTTTCAAAGATTTGGATTTGAAACCTTTTAAAAATTTAATTATTTCTTTAAATTCAAGCAATATGCTTTTAATATTCAATTCTTATCTAAAATTATAACTAAAATTCATTTTTAAATAATTGAATTTTTTTGGAAAATTAATAGTTAATAGTAGTTAATAAATATCCAGTATTTACCTGATTTTCCATAAGATCAACGGGCGATGAATTCGGCTGAATCAGCGTCTGATATGCAGCTCGTTTCGAGTCCAAAACTTGAAGGACAACTTGATCACAATTAGTTTCTTCAGTATGCAATTCTGAATTTTCAGTGGAAACATCAACCAATTTTCCCTCTTGTTTCTTCTGTAGCATATGAACGACACTCGTTAAATCCGTTTTATTATTGGACTTCACTGGAGCCTGACTACGAAGAATTCTGTCATTTTTCGACAAATTCACAAAACTGTCCAGAGTAATTTGATCTAATTCGGAATTTTCAAGATTTTCCGTCGTTGCATTTATCGAATTTTCATATTCTCGAGACTGGAAAAAGAATAATAAAAATTAATATATTTTCTTTATTCCTGAATATTTTTCTATTTAAACAGAATATTCTAGAATTTGAAAACATATTTTTCACAAGTTTCTTTTATGTGATAAAAGAAATTCTAAAAGCAGAGTTGCCACAAAAATTCATTTTGTTTTTCCTTGATTTACAGATAAAATTTTGACTTTTTCCCTGACCGTTAAAAATATTTATGAATTCTAAAAATTAAATTTTTTCCTTTACTTTTAATAAAAATCCCTGACTTTTCCTTGATTTCCCCGACCTGTGGCAACTCTGATAAAAATTTCTTAAAAAGTAATTAAAAATGAGAAAGTGAAATAATAAACAAACCCTGTTTCCACAACCATTGTACTTCTGTCGACAAAAAATTCGTTTGTGAGAAATAAGATTTACAAGACTACGAAAAATACTGCGACATATTCGACATTCGTAGAGTAAATTTACTTCGTGGCTGAGTAAACTCTTGACTTCCGGAGTTCCTGTTTCGAGAAGTTTGGCCGCGTCCTTTAAACTCGAAGCACTTATTTTTATGGGTTTTTGCAATTCGGACAAATCCAAATTTTTCGGATCCAATTTACTGGATTTTCCAGGTTTTTTGTTTTTCGCCTTCGACATTTTCCTGTAAATAATCAAGCAAATTAGAAATTTTCAATACCTATTTTCTATATTGTAAACCCTTTAAAATTCATAACCTCCGAACAAATTATACTTGTGAAAAATTATTTTCACCAAGAAAATAAAAATAAATTCAAATTCAAACAGTTTACTGTATATTCTCTATATAATTCTCTTTCCATTTTTAGAAAAGTGTGCAAACTGTACAACAAAGAAATGAAAGAAAATATTTTTTCAATAAAAATTTCTTTCCTATTTTTTGACGCCTGATAAATTTCAAAAATTTTGAAGAATTATAATGAATTTAAAATTCGAATTAGTTTAAAATTAGAATGAAATTATAAACGCATTTTTAACAGCAAAAATGGTTATATTTAAAACACTAAAAAAATGTAACACTCAGTTCTAACTTTAACAATAAAAAATTCTCTAAAAACAATTAATACTTAAAAATGTAAACTTCACAATTTTTAAAATATTTCTAATTTTGCAAAACTTGTTTAAAATTTACAATTTATATGATATAAAAAGAAAAAAGTATATTTTACAAGAATGTTTTCATTCTCTACATGTAACAAAAGCGGAGTTTTCAGATCTGATAAGAAACTATTTATGTTAAACCAAATAGATTGACATAACCTATAAAAGATGGAATTTTACAAATTTTTGAATTAACTCAACTGTTCTTCAACAATGTTTAACAATCATATTCTAATAATAAAAAAGAAAACATTAATGTTTAATTGAGAAAACTGCCATTTGTTAGTTTTTGTCTGCAGCCGAATTCCTATTCAATTTTTAATCAATAATGCGCAAATTTTTTTTGTTTTATGCTTATGTAGATTAAAAAAAAACATTATATTTACCTCTTTTGTTACTTTTCGAAATGATTGTTTAATAATTCGAAACGAATTTCAAATATTCTAAATAATTTAGTCATGAATTTCACACACTTCGGAGATCGTCCATCTTCATTTTTGTTCCGTCCGTCCGTTCGTTTTCAACATAACCTCAAAAAAATGTCAGTCGCACATTTTTCGAAGAAATTTCTATTTTTGTGAATTAAAAATATTAAAAATAGGAGAAAAACGAGAAAAATTGTTTGAAAATGCAGAAAATGCGAATTGTACCTGCTGTCAAGGTGAGATTAATTTATTTTTGTTTATTATATAGAAATAAGGACATAAAAAAGTACTTTTCGTTCTAGTTTACGTATTTTACTTTTAATTGCTTTTGAATTGAATAAATTGATATTTAAATTTAGTAATATTTAGATTTAATAAATACGTATATAGAGTTAAAGTAATTAATTTTTTTCAGCTTTTACAAATGACATTTGTAAATAATAATTTATGTCATGGGAGAAGTAATTTTATAAAGACAATAACACCAGGATGTGCGTTTGTTTATTCAGATAGGAATTTTTATTCCTCGAAGCCGCTTCCCATGGCGAAGCCTGAATTGAAACCAAAGAATGTCTGGTTCTTTGAAAAATATTTAGACAAAAATAATTTTTTTCATCCACACAGATTTGTGAGTTTTTACTTTTCAATTCATTACTTTTTTTTATTATATTTATTACAACTATTTCTTTATATTCGTTATTTTTACTTGTTTAAAAAAAAAATCTTTTTAATGAAGAAACAATTTTTGTAGAGAGTTTTTTTATTATTCTAATGAAACTTAAAATTTCGATTTACAGAGATTTATGACATTAGGACATTTCTTATACGAAAATGTCGTTGATGCTTTAGACTATGACCAGTTTAATAAAGGTACGTTTAATAAATAAATAATAATTTAATTAAATAATAAAAATAATAATAAAGTAGACTAGATATAAAAATATTTGAAATATAATTTCTTTATTTTTTTTTCAGAACTCAAATTGCCGGACACCTTTAATTCGTGGTTTGTAGTAACAGAACTTCATGTATGGTTGTTAATGGTTCGTTGCATGCAAGAAGGAGACGATGGAAAAATTACAAGAAATCACCTCGTAAAAGCGTTATGGAATGATTGCGATGAGAGGGGAAAGCTACTTGACGTATGTTATTCATTTTTACACAGAATTCTGTTCAAAAATTTTCTAAAATATTTTCAAAAATTATCAACTTCAATAAAAATTAAAATCGGTAAATTAAACGTTTTCAATGTTTATAAGTTATAATTAAATCGTTAATTTCAATTTTCAAAATTTTAGAGACTTCGTATTTCAAAGAATTTAGATTTTCAAATCGAAATTTTAATTCCCAATTTTTCTGAATAAAACATAAGAAATAAAAATGATTAATTGATTATTTTGTTAAATATTCAATATTTTTAGGAATTAATTTTCCAAATAGAAAAGAGAGAGAAGAGAGAATATAAAAAATTTTTCATTTCAGACAGAGGAGAGTCGAGTGAACCCTAAAAAGGTAAAGAAACAAATGAAAGAACTTGTGGGACAATTTAATGCATGTATTATTGCTTACGACGAAGGTCTCACTGGAGATGATACAATTCTTGCCGACGCGATTTGGCGACGATTTTTCCTTTCCGAAGGTAATGATCCGGAAAAAGTAGAAAAGCTCGTTCACTACATAAGAAAGCAGGTAAATATTTGTTCTGTAAACAAAATTGTTTTTTTCCCTTCTCCTTTGCTTTTTAACTAAAAAAACCGAATTTACTTTACAGATGTATTTATTAGATGAAACACCTTGGGCGGAAATATTTCGTAAGAAATCAATTGACTGGAAAGGTTTAGACATAATAAAATCCGATTAATTTGAAATTAGTACAATCTAAAATGTGTAGTTGTCAGAATTTTACTGTAAATATAATGTAAATAATATTCTATTTAATACTGTGAAAAAAATTGTTTATTATAAAAAATTCTTGCATTTTTTCAGTCAGTTTCGTACAAAAAAAACTTAATCTAATCTTTCTTTTTTCTTTAAGAAAACTTTCTTTCAATCTAGACAGATCTTATTTTTTCCTAGTAATTTTCATTTATTAAAAAAAAATTAGAAATTCTTTCTTTAGCCGAAAATTGTGCCTTTTACTTTTCCAATAATGCTATTCACGGAGACTCCAATTTCGGTATTATTTAACATTTGAAATATTGGACTGTTCAAATTTTCAAAGAAGGTGCATTCTTTTTTGTTATTCACTTGACTGGTGACAATTGAACAAAATTGCTTTTTTAAACATTTAGAATTGCAGTTTTCTTTCAGTGCTGGATCCGCATATTTGACAAAGTTTCTGTGGATGAAAAAATTTTTGGTAACTAAAAACTACTGTTTTTTTTGTACTAAAATTAATTTTTTAAAATAATTATTTACCTGTGGTATTTTAATATTGCTTTATCGTCTTTAGACATCTCGACGAGCCAATTGTTCAAGGAATTTGGAGAAGTGTCGGATAAATTGTATTCTTCTTTGAAAGAATAAAGCTTAAACCAATCGGGCCTTCGATCGGGAGTTTCGTTCGCTGCAGTGAGATTGTAAATCCAGGTCTCATAGTCTTCGACTTTCTGCCGGAAAGAAAAGGTAAATTTCGTTTTATTATAAAATTCAAATCAATTCTAATTAATTAAATTACATTTCATTTTATTATAAATTCAAATCGATTGTAATTAAAGGAATTTACAAATAATTTTTCCCAAATTTAAAAATTCCCCTTTTCTAAACTGAATCCCATGTTTAAAAAATAAAATCCCCCTTTTTACCTAAAATTACATGAAAAAATTTTAAAAATTGTAAAAAAAACATGAATAACTGTAAATAACTAACATAATCGTTTCCATTGATTTCGTAGATTTTGTAATTTGGATTGAGATTCGAGTAAGTTGTGATACTTCCTCCATTCCAAGCAACATTGATAATTTTCGAATTGTCATCGGGACTGTAGAAGACTTTTAATTCATCATTGTGCGTGTGTCCATTGAATTGAGCGGAAATAATGTGTGAATATCGATTGACAATTTTTCTGAAAGCTCGACTCCAAGCAACTAGACAGGAATTATCACCGGGTGGAATGTGAGCCAGTATATGAACAAATTCATTGTCATTCTCCGCCTGATGGAGTGTTTCCATCAACCATTTTAATTGACCGTCTTGATCCTTTGGCTGATACAAAATCCACCAATTGTAAGTGTAACAGACATTATTATTCATGACAATAATTCTGAATCCTTTCCTTGGCGAAACGGTGTAAAATCCTCCTCTTAAAATTGTTGCTCGTGTAGATTCTGGCAACCAGCCGTAATTAATCCAAAGATCCGCTAGTAATTTGTAGAGCCAAACTGTACTCAGTTCTTCCTCCTCAATATCGTGTGGAGCGAAACTAAAATTATAATTAAAAGTAAAAGGAATTTTTTCAGTTTTTGAAACAAAATTTTATTTTAATATTATTTAAGAAAATATTAAATAGACTTTACACATTAACTGGATTTGGCTCGTGATTGCCTAGAATTGGAAATATCATCTTATTTGGAAAAGTTTCCTTCATTAAATTATAGCTTTTCGTCAAGGTTTTTGCATTGTCTTCTAAAGTTGTTTCCCAAACTCCGTGATCTATTATGTCGCCAGTGAAATAAATGTAGTCTACATCCTGAAATTATAATTACTATAATGAAATTTGTCACGTTATTTTATTAGTTGAATTAATTTTCTATCAATTTTTTGCAGAAATGGAAATACCGAGTGTGTATTTTTCATGTGATCAAGAGCATCGACAACGGCGTGCCAAGGAGCATCGCAGAAATTATAATCTCCCCAATATTTGGCTAGTTTTCCTCTTTTGTTGGTGGAATTTTGACCCATTCGACAGCAGGTCGGTTCAGCGCAGCCTGCATTGCCATTCACTTCATAATTCGGATCGTAATGAATATCAGTAATTTGGAGAATTTTCATCATCTCATTATCATTTGTAGTTGGAATTAATTTCGGCTCACTGTCATCGACGTCTATTGACCAATTATATTCACTACTACTCGTGGAACATGCTTGACTTTGCAAAATCACGCCACAAACATCCGACGCCTTGATATTTGGTTTTGCGTCCACAATCTTCAGAATTATCGGCTACAATATAAGATGTAAATATTAATCTTTATTTGATTCTTACTCTTTTTGCTTCCTCATAGAGAAAGGATTTTATTTCAATTTTTGATCATTTTTTTCTGTTAATTGAATGTAATTAATATTTTTTTAATTATTTTCGTTTTATAGTAGTTCAAAAATTAACAGAAAAGAAAATTAATTTTTTTAGAATTAATTACTAGAAAGAGGAAAATGATTAGAGTTTTGAATTATTTTATTTAGTTTGAAGAAAAAAATTATTGAATTTTGAAAGAATTACTTTTGTAATTTTTAGAAATAGTTAAATTAATTATCGAGTGCGAAGCCTGTAATTCGAAAAAAGAATTCTTTACTTACTGCATTTAATTGAACGACACCGGAACAAACTTCTTCTGTTTGTAAATTAAAAAGTGTACACAAATCGGCAATCGATTTCGATATAGTTTCTGGTGCAGTTCCCCCTTTTCTCAATATCACTATTGTTTTTACCATTACATTACATATTGTACAAATGGTAATTGCCTGTATTCCCTCTAAGGCTTTAAAATCTTTTCGCTGAAGGGCGGTTGGAAGAGCCAGTGCTTTTATTGCTTGCTTTAAAAGCGACGATTTTATTCCCGATTTCACCCATAATTCAATTTCAGTGCTTAAAATATCAGCTTTGATATCAAGTACTAAAAATAAATTAAAATTTTCATCTTATATTTAATTTCGAAAAACATTTATTTGGATAAAAATAATTTTAGAGAGATGGACATTTTTTTTATAATTTTATAGCGTTATTAAATGAACTCGATTTTTATTTATTTTCTCAATGCGTCATTATTTACTGCTTTGCGGATTTATTTTACAGGAAAAAAAAACTTATAAATTTCAATAAGTCTGACGTATTTGTAGACATAATTCAGATTGATAAAATTTATTATAATGAAAAGAAATTATAAAGAAATTATAATTTAAATTTTATTTTTAAGAAAAAGAAAAAAGGAAAGAGGAATTATTTTAATTTTATATTGATAAAAAAATGAAAAATTGATTATTATTTAGGTCAGTGGACTCCAAGTACTAGAAAATATTTCGTGAAATTACAAATTAAATAGTAAATAAAATATCTTTCGTAAAAGATTCAGGAATATCTTCTATAATTGATAAAAGTCAATCAATTAAATTCGCTTACGTAATTCACTATCTAATATTTTTCGATCGTGTCTTTGATATGCTACGAAAGAATAATTTCTTTCTATTTCGACGACAAGTAAACTTTTATATTCAATATTTATTTTATTTTTATTTTCCAAGCTTTGCTTTTTATTTGATTGTTTATAAGTAATTAGAATAATTAATTATTACAAAAATTAAAAAAACTAGAAAAAGAGAAATAATTTTCTAAGAATAAAGATGCGGCGTTTGAAAATAATAAACAAAAAACGTGTAATTTCCAACTATTTACAAGGTTTTTGAATAACTTTGAATAAACATCAAGGAAGCTAATAGAAAAACAATTTTAGAAGTGGATTTTCATCTTTGCAAGTTTTATTATTTATTCTTAGAAAAGAAATCTACAAATTTTATAATTTTCTGTTATAAAATTTTTTGTTTTATTATTATTACTATTTTTATTTTTATTTTTATTTTTATTATTATTATTACTACTACTATTTTTTTATTATTTTTATTTTCGTCGCAATTTAAAATAGTTTTTTGAAATTAAGAATGAAATAGAAAGAAAATAAATCAACCTACTATTTAGAGAATTAGTTGCGACGAGAACGGCGCAAAATGTGAGGCAACAAAGAGAAATTGTAATAAACTTCATATTAGATTTGACCACTAATAGTACTATAGAAATTACTGAACTTGATAAGAAGATTTCTTACCTTCTTAAAGGTAAAACCCCACTCTTCCGACAATTTTTCCATCTCTCTTTCTTACAAGTATTTAAAATACAAATTGTGATTTTTTAATTTAGAATTTTTCTTTCATCTCTCGACTATTAATCAGTCGATATACATTATTAATAAAAAGAAGCAAATTTAATATTCTTTATCGCTCAATGTTTATAATCATTTATAACGAACTCTTCCTTTTTAAATTTTCCTTTCTCGAATACCATTTGTGGTCCCTTCAATTATAATGGAAATTAACAGGTGTTTTCAGTCTAATTTTGCAGTCTTCCTGCAAATATTTGCAAAAAATGCAATTCACCAAAATAAAAATCAGTAAAATTAAATTAAATATTCTGAAAATATCGGGAAAAGAATTTAAAAACCGGAATAATTTTGATTTAAGTAATTAACTAAAGTATTGAAAAAAAATTGCAAAAAAACAGTTTGTAAATTTTCAAAATTAAAAATATTGAAATTTGTTTTTTGAACAAATTTTTTACTACGCTATATGCTAATTATTAAATCCAGAAAAATTCATTTAAAAGGGAAAAATTACAGTTTAATGTTCTAGAAAAAACTTACTTTTTGTTCTTTTTATGTATTTTTATTATCATAACCGGAAAACTGAAAAAAAGTAAAATAGAATTATTTACAATTAATTCGTCATTCCGTACTATCCGCCATCTCCACGTCGTCTATAAAGAGATCGTCGAGCATTTCATCAAGAGTAATTTGTGGGATTGACGGATCGATCACATCGTCCTCGTCGACAGGAATTTGTTTTTTCGAATCTCGAAAGATGTTTATATTTTGTCGCATTTCCGGATCCTCTTCCAAATCGTCCAAGAATTCGTTGTACTCACTGTGCGAATAAAGAAGGAAATTAAGAACTTAGTAGATATTAAAAATCATTGAATTGCGAATAGTTTTAAAAATAATTAAATTTTACAAGAATTCTATTAAAATTTTTGACAATTGAACTTTATTTGTGAAAATAATTTAATTTTTCGATTAATTAATTAAAAATGGTATTAAAAATAATTGGAACTCTTCGATGAGTTTTATTATTTATGAAAATAATTGAATTCTTGCTTAGAATTTTATCAAAAATTTTTTTTTTTTAAAATTGAATTTCCATGAAACATGTTATTATTTATTTATAATATCTACCGATGTAGAGCGAATTAATATTATTTTTCTAGTATAATTGTTTGTTTCTTTTAATATTTTTGCCAGTTTATTGTGTCTAAGTATATAAACTATTGTTCAGCTGAAATAAACTTCTTTTGAAGTTTCACTTGCTAATAAATGAAAAAAAAAAAAATTATTTATTTACTTTGAAATATAAAAGAAAACTTACTTATTTTCTGTGCTCATGCTGACAACATCTTCGGCGAGGTGCTTCAGTTTCCATAAACGAGCGCGACGACGAGCGGCTTTATCGTGGCCGTAGAATTTCTTTACCAAAATTACTTCTGGCACTAGGTCCTGATTCAGTTTTTCAAAATTCGAATCATTTATGTTGCTGTCTCCCAATGCATAACTGGAAGAAAAATTGATTAATTTATAATTAGTATAGTGAAAAGAAAGATAGAAATGTTTAGGATTTATTTGAATAGAAAATGTCTCACCCCATTGCCGAATCTCCAGGTTTCAAAATATGACCCAAATGCGTGCGAGTGTGAATTGTATTGTCATTAATTCCCAATTCTGATGCCTTCACGAGCCAAACGTCAGAAATCACGTGCTGAAATTTTAAATAATTCAAATAGTAGAATAAAAAATGAAATTTAATTTAATAATAATTTAATTACTTTGTTGGAAATAGCTCCTTGTCCGGGGAATATTTTCTTGTCTTTGTCTTTTATTGGCTCTATGTCCATAATGACGTATTCCGTCAATTGCTTAGGGTTGCAGATGCTTTTGAAAGGATCTCGCCAATAAATTGTCGAATTAACTTCCGCAACTGAAAGAAAATAATTAAAAAAATCGTTAATGTAATAATGAACAATGTTACTTTTTCAAACAAACAATTTCGATCATTTTTCAAAAACAATACATGTTTTATTCATTTTTAATTGTTATGGACTTTAAAAATATATGAAAAATTTATCCTACCTTGTCCGGAAGAAACGTCAATTAAATGCAAAGCGTTTGTTGTTTTATGAACCAAACAAACGGCGCTTATTCCTCCCAATTGATGAGTTAATTTTTTCGACAAACACACTACACTTTCTTTCGAAATGGGTACAATTTCCACACTAAAAATAAGTGAATTGAAAGATTTATCAAGAATGTTAAACCTAGGGATCTTTGTTAAATTAAAATGAAAATAAATTTAAAATTAACTTCTTTAAAATAAATTTAAAATTCAAAAATTCAAAAATTTACCTGTAGGTAAATTTGTAATTGTAAGTATTACTGTGAATATCGTGTGATATCAATTTTTTCGAGTGTTGATAACGACATGGCAAAACTGATGTGAAGAAATCAATCATTTTTCGAGCTGCTGCTTCATTCGCAAAATAAAAATCAAGTCCCTCTAAAAATGAAATTTATAGAAAGATAAATAAGATACAGATAAAAATAAAAACTATTTTCTATAATTAAGGTCAAAAAATACACACCATGAATGGGTTTTATTCCCAAAGTTTGCTCATGAGCCTTATGCTTCAATATTAATTGTTCCAAATAGAAGAAAGTCTTTTTGTTTATCGACTTCTGTCTGACTTGAACCTAAAAAAGTCATTTTTTTTTAAATTTGGATCGAAATAGAGAAAGTTACAATTACGTTTTCAATTATAATTCATGCATTTTTCTATTATGTCCTCGACTCACTGATGCTCTCCAATAATCTTTAGCTTCCGTCCTATGACAATCATCGCACATTTGATGACTTACAACGAACTCAACAACGAAAACTTGTTGTAAAATAGCGCCTCCAATAACTTCAGCATTCACTGTTAATTTCACCTGTTAAATAATTAAAACTTGAATTAATCCAACGAAAAGATGTTCATTTTCATTTGATTAGATTAAAAAAAAACAAAAAAAATTACATAATATGCAAATTAAAAAAATTTCTATTATCAAATTAATATTAATTTCAATTTTGGTATAATTTGAGATTCAAAATTAAGAAAACATTCAATTATTAACTAATTTACTGATTATAATTGTTTATTGTTTTCAAAAACTTAAATAAAATTCTTCGCAGGAATTCTCGTGAAAATTAACTTATTTTTAATTTTTAAAGATTGATTATTATTGTTATTATTATTATTAATTCCTTATACCTTTAGTCTTTTGGAATGAGGTTCAGTCCAAATAAAACCTGCATCTATTAGTTTAACTCTGTTGAGTCCCTTCAATTTTTTCAAACAAAGCGAAAGAAGTTCTCGTGACTCCAAAGCTGCATGAATCCATTCCTGTGGAGGTTGTAGATATCTACAAAAAAAGGAATAAATTTATTTCCTTAAAAATTAATAATTTATTAAAATAATTTATTTTTCCTTCTTATTATGATTTATAAAGTCAATAGTATTTGTTTACCTTTCACAATTTCTGCAAAAATGGATTGTTGCCTGCTTGGGAATTCCTTCTGTGATATCAACTTGTGTTCTCAAACAAGGTACGCACATATTTGTAGGATTTGGCTCTATACCTGTACCACATTCGCAACATAATCTGAAACATTTATTTATTAATATTAGGAGATTATTAATTATATTAATAATTATTAATAGTCGCTTATTGTAGATGTTTCAAAAAGAATGTCATGTCAAAATAGTGGAACTATTACAACACCTGTTTATTATTAAAAAATATTAAGATTTTAGTGATTTGTTACAAAAAGTAGTGTAAGTTGGAGTCTTATACGAATTTTATAATTTTCTGTCGTATGTAAACAGAAAATTAAGAAATAAAATAGAATAAACTTGTCATGCTTGTCACACTTGAATAGAGGTTAGTTCACATTGAAAACAAAATCACTTACATTATCGCTTTTTGCGGACATATTTCGTCAAGTTTTTCTACTCCCTCCATTATAGTCGATTAAATTCGCATAGGAAAATAGTTTTTAGCGACTATTGTTTATTTTTCTCTCTAGAATTTGAAGTTTCAGAGGAGAACGAGGTGAACACGTGTTTCTGGCAAAAATATTGGAATTTGTAAATAATCGGAGGGACGGCGTGTCTTGAGACATTTTCACATTTTAGAACATTTTCAGTGACACGAAATTATCGCAGTGTTATTAAAACGCGCAAAGGTTATATAATATAATTATATTCAAATTTAAATAATATCTTATTGTTACAATTCCGTATTTTTTCTATAGAAAAAAAACTAAACTATAATAAGTTTTCAAAAAGGAATTTATTGTATTTAAAAGTACGCGCCAATTTTTAATTGGTCGAGTGACTTAAGCCGCGTTCATACGTTCTGCGCAAACTCGTCCAGTGTCTCCACGCGCATGTTCATTTCCGCCATTGCTTCCCGCACCTTCTTGAGTTACGGACGTATTTTCATTCTATTTTCTCGAAATCTAAATCAAATTTTATAAACTATAATAGACTAGACTGCAGCCAAATAATCAACAATCCGAAAATAGGTATTTTGGTAAGTCCTTTATTACTTTATTTATGTAAAATCCATAAAATCTAAAGCTGGAAATCTGAACTAAAAATATCGACAAAGTGTTTCAAAATAAGACGTTAAAAGCAATTTAAAGACAAAAATTAACGAAATTTTTACTATTATTGATACCGATTAGTAATTATTTTTGTATAAAATGTATACTTTTGCTCCGTTAGTTTATTTTAACGCGTTTTTGAACAATTTTGCAAATTTTTCATCTTTTATTCCTTGACATAAAAATATCTCCTGATGTATCGATTCAAGTTGCATTAATGTAAAGAATCGAAAGAATCTAAACTTAAATACATAATCGACATTTAATCGTTAATAATATCTAAAACACAAAAGGATTTTTGCTAATTTTTATATTTTATAATTCTTTTGGCGCGATATAAATTTATTAGTTATCATTTCCACCACTAGTGGCGCTGTCGATTTCCGTGATTTAATTGATACTTTTTACTTTTTGCAAATTGCAATTAAATCAATTAAATAAATAAATTCTAAAGAAATTTAGTAATAGAATGATTCATAGAAATATTATTTCAATTTATTACACATTTTAATCACTGTCTGTTCTTTTTTACTGTTATAAAAACATGAAATACTCTTTGCCGTGAGTTTAGACTTTAGACATTTATAAAATGAGAAACATAACCTAAAATTTTTTGTTTTCTGACTTTTCCGAATGGTCGCAGTACACGTGTTTTTCTTCCATGTGTTTTAGAGAAATATTGTTAAAATATTATTTCTTGTTAGAAATAATAAATGTCTTTATTTCCCGGTTGTTTGTGAACAAAACTCTGTGAAAAGTGCGTTTCATTAAGTATTTAATAAGAAACTTAATACTTCTGTGTCTGTGTTTCCTGCAGTGTTTCCAGAATGGAGAAGACAGATGAAATTTCAGGATTTGCGAATCCTGATGATTTTGAGGATGATAATGAGGTGGTTAATACGAAGAAAAAGGTCGGAAAAAAGTCTGGAGGTTTTCAAGGTATGGGCCTCAGTCAATCAGTTTTGAACGGAATTTTAAAACGAGGTTATAAAATTCCAACACCGATTCAACGAAAGGTAAATAGCAAAATTTACTATTTTCAATGTAAATTTTTTTTTGTAAAAATTATTAAAATTTTTCTCGAACATTACAATTTGCTATTAAATATTCTTATTTTTAGAGTGAATTTTATTTTGTTGGAAAAGTTAAAAAAAAATTTTATTTTAAATTATTGAATTCCAATGAAAATTTTATCATATTTTGAAAATAATTGAATTTCTGAGGAAAATTTTATTAAAATAATGGAATTTATCTAAAGTATTTTATTATTTATAAAAATAATTGAATTTTCGAGAAGAATTTATTATATTAATATTATTATTTTCTTTTTAGACAATCCCATTGGCCCTGGAGGGTCGAGACGTTGTGGCGATGGCAAGAACTGGAAGTGGAAAAACAGCCTGCTTTTTGATTCCACTTTTTGAGAAATTGAAAATTCGTCAAGCGAAAAGTGGCGCGCGGGCTTTAATTTTGTCGCCAACTCGAGAATTAGCCCTGCAAACTTTGAGATTTATAAAAGAAATTGGCAAATTTACTGGATTGAAAGCGGCAGTTGTTTTGGGTGGTGACAGTATGGACAATCAATTTTCGGCAATTCATGGCAATCCCGACGTCATTGTCGCTACTCCCGGTCGATTTTTACACATTTGCGTTGAGATGGAGCTAAATCTCAAAAGCATTTCCTACGTTGTTTTCGACGAGGCTGATCGGTGAGTTAACTAAATTTTTAATTTTACTCTAAACCTAGGTACATATTCTGAATTTTCAATTTTAAATTCCCAGTTTCAGAATATTTTGTTTTCCTTTTCTAAAAGTTATTTTAAATTTTCTAATAGATTATTCGAGATGGGTTTTGGAGAACAAATTCACGAAATAGCAAATAGACTGCCTCAGAATCGGCAGACACTTTTGTTTTCTGCAACTCTACCAAAAGTACTGGTTGAATTTGCAAAAGCTGGCTTGGGAGATCCAGTTCTCTTGCGTCTCGATGTCGAGAGCAAACTGCCGGAGGAATTGACACTTTCTTTCGTTACTTGTCGCCCTGAGGAAAAATTAGCCGTTCTTCTTTGTCTTTTGAAAAATGTCATTAAACCGGATTCGCAAACTGTGATTTTTGCCGCTACGATGCATCATGTCGACTACATTCATCAGGTGTTTATTCTATTTCTTTTAAATCCTCGAATCTCTCAAACCTTTATTTACGAAAAAATTTTCGGAAATTTTGTGTTCTTTTTTTTATCTATTTTTATATTTTAATTAATTAATAAGAAATTTAAAGTGTAGAGACACTAAAATGTATTTAAAAAGTTCTTTTATCAGATGAACAGTAAAGTTGTAATAATATGATAATAATGTAAAGATGTATTTAATTATGATTTTTTCTTTCTATTTTCAGATTTTAAACAAAGCGAATATTTCCAACACCTTCATTTATTCGAATCTTGATCCCTCGGCTCGGAAAATTAATGCGGCAAAGTTTCAAACTGGAAAAGTAAAAGTTTTGGTTGTAACAGATGTTGCAGCGAGAGGAATCGACATCCCCCATTTGGATTATGTTATAAACTTTCATTTTCCTGATAAGAGCAAAGTCTTCGTTCACAGGGTTGGTGAGTGAAACAATAGAAACAAAGTATTTAAGCACCAAACTATCTATATTAATAATCCTTGAATTATTATTATAACATAATATTAATTATATTAATTAATTAATATTATAACTATTCTCAAAAATTATTATCAAATTCTTTAAAACGATTCAATTATTTTCAAAAAGTATTCGAAATTCAATTATTTAAATTAGAATTTGCATAAAATTATTTACAAGAAATGAATTATTAAAAAAAAATTGATAAAATTCAACCAAAATTCAATTATTTTCATAAATAATAAAAATCATCAAAGAATTTCAATTATTTTTAATACTATTTTAAATTGATTAATCGAAAAATTTAATTATTTTTTGTTCTTTAGGACGTTGCGCTCGAGCAGGAAGGAGCGGAACTGCTTACAATATAATTTGTCCTGATGAATACTCTTATCTTTTGGATTTGCATCTCTTCCTGGGACGTCCATTTCATATTGTTCCGAATGTAGGAAGTGAAGAAGTTCCCGAAGGAGCTGTGGGGAAAATGCCACAAGCAATGATTGAGGAAGAAATTGCTGAACTTATTAATTGGCACCATGTCACTACGGATCTTGTAAGTAGTAAATAAATCGAAATTTATTAAAAAAGAGACCAAAACTCAATTTTTAGTGAAATTTTGTTAAATTAACTTATTGTGTAATTTGTGAGAAATTTGAATTTTCTTTTTGTTCAGGAAAATATGGAGAACGTTTGCAATAACGCTTATCAACAGTATTTGCGATCCAGGCCTGCCGCTTCCTCCGAAAGTTCGAAACGCGTCAAGAACCTCAATATCATTGAAGCGGGAATTAGTCCTGAATTTTGTGATATAAAGACAAGAGAAGCGGAAAATTCACTATCGGACATTTTATCTCGGATGAAGAATTACAGACCTCCCGGTGTATGTTTTTAACTATTAACAATTTTGACATGTTTTACTTCTCTAGAAAAATAGGGGAATAAAATGTGAAATTTTATCTTCCTCGTTTTAAAGTCTTACTGATATTTGGTATTTTATATCACACACAATGGATGGAAATGTTTTTTTTTTGTTTAGACCGTGTTCGAAATATGCAGCAGGAATACAGCAACTGATTACAAAGTTATGAAAACTAAACGCGCTTTTCATAAGGAAAGTATTCGGGATTTCCATCGAAAAAAAGAAGAGAGGGAAAACGACGCTTTGAAATGTAAGAAAAAACATATTCACACATAAACAATTGTCTTTCGTAAATTATTTTTTAATATAATTTATTTTATTTATAATAAGGTTTGCAATATATTTTTTGTATTTTTGCAGGTGTTGGAAAATCATCGGAAAAATTAACACTCCCATCAAGCAGTGCCGATGAAATAAAAGCCACTTTCAATGAAGTGATTACTCCGAAGAAAAGAAAATTAGACGATCTCTATAAACCTTCGAAAAAGAAACAGAAAGTAACACGGGACGATGAATTTTACATTCCGTACAGTGCTCCCGATAAACACACAGAAGACGGGTAAATTTAATTGATTAATTAGCAATTCAAATATTTCATTAATTAGAAAATGTTAACAAAAATTGAAACAATTGGATACGTTGTCAAATTTTATTAAAATAGAAAATTAAAATAAACCCTTATTAGGAGGATTTTTTTATATTTTTATGTCAATATTTTATTGTCATTAGAAATTAAATTAAAAATTTTAATTTTCAGATTGGCTGTTAATGTGTTCGCGAAGGATGCCGAAAGAATGCAATTAGATTTGACGGCGGACAGTGAAGAATCAAGAAGGTTACAAACACAAATAAAAAAATGGGACCGTAAAAAGAAGAAGATGGTGACGATAAACAATGTAAATTTTAACTAACTTTCACTTACTAATGTTATTTTTAAAATCACTCATAAAACTAAAATCGAAATTCTATTTTGTCCAGAATTCCAAAGTTGGAAAAATACGATCCGAATCTGGAGCTTGGATTCCTGCCTCCTATAAAACAAATCGTTACTCACAATGGAAGGAAAAGAGCAAAGTTGCCTCTTTGAATGACTACAATGACGATGAAGATGAATCGCCTCAAATGCAAAAATGTAAGTTTTTCCATTTTCTAACAATTTTCTAATTCTTTTAATTTAAAAACGAAAATTAAAAATAGAGGAAAATAAGGAAAATCGGACGTGCATAGAAATTGATAGTTCTGTCTCACTTTTATGAATGAGTTTCATTTTTTTCTGTTTATAAAAAAGATTCCATTTGTCAGAAAACATGTAGATTAGCAGTGTCAGAAAACTGAGCAAATGTAGCGAGAAAAAACCGAGCTATGTAGACAGTTTCACTAATTGTCTGAATTTAGTTAACAAGAACACAGTCAGTGGGTATATTTTTATCCTTACACGCCAATAATATGAATTAAGAAGAGCCAAGTGCAATCTGTTTAAAGTTAAACACAGGAAGCGGGTCATTGATCTACTCAGTTGATGTTATACTCTCAGCGAGAATAAACTTTTATTCCACTTGGAATCCTCTATTCTCTAAATTACCAAAAAGATGGAAATTTATCTTAAACTTAATACATCTATTCTTCTAATTTTTATTACTTTTATAAATTTCGACAATAACAGGGATCCCAGTCTCTTTTTCCCCTTTTTTATCCCCTTAAATAAATAAAATTTTCTAGAATACCTAAAATCATAAATTTTCACTCTTTTTCCCCTTATTTTTCAGAAAAAAAGTAAAAATTGTCATTTTTTGTAAGTTGGAAAAATTTTTATTTAGGCTTAAAGAACAAATTTTTAATTTTCATAAACTTGGAACAAATTTTAGTATTTTGAAACTTTATAATCTTTTTATATTATTTCCTAGTGTTGAAACTTGGAGATTTTTTCATAACAAATATAAAATAAGTTTTACTTTTGAGAAAAATCCAAATTGTTTGGAATTTTTGACAAATTGTATTAATTTTAGAATAAATTTTAATAGAATTCATAGTTTGATTTATAATTTGACTAATTTTCAATAAAATTTGCTGCTATTATAAAATTTACTCTAAAAATTTAATGATTTTTAATATTAAATTTTACTATTTTTTAAGGAAATTTGTTTTAACTCCCAAGTTAATTTTAGTAATTTCTTTCTGAAATTTACTTCGTATTTCGTAAAATTATTATTTTCAAAAAATAATATATATATATATATATATATATATATATATCATAAATAATAAAATTTTTACAAGGATTCAATTATTTTCATAAATAATAACATTTGTCGCAGGATTTTAATTATTTTTAAAACATTTTTAATGAAATTCCTCGAAAAATGTAATTATTCTTAAAAATTTTATTAAAATTCGTCCAAAGAATTCAATTATTTAAAAATTTTTCAAGAAACGTGCAATTTCTAATATTAGATGGAAAATTGACTGTGATCCCTGCAATAAGAATTTTAGAGAAAATGATAGAAATTGGGGAATTTTAATAAAAATATTTCCATTCGTATAAAGTGAGTGATTTATTAATTGAAAATGAGATGAATAAATTGTAGAGAGTGAGTGAGTGAATATTATCGGATCGAATATAAGGGACGAATCTCTTCTTGTCCGCATTCTTCTCGATGTAGTCTCTAGATGCACATGTTGAGATGACCTCTAGTAACACGTCTACGTCGTTACTGTTCAGTTACAAAGTACGAACACTATATAATGTGCTCATTCATTCAACCGGGTGGGGTACAACTTGAAGCGCAAATAGTTGACATTCCAGAGAGGCTTTCCCTCCAACAGTCCTATTTGCAAAAATTCCAATCAGAAAACAACTCACGTATCTGAAACTTATTGTTTGACAAAATATTCTCTTATTAACTTCGTGGATTGAATTCCAATCCGATGATGTAATAACTGAATTTGTAAATATTATTAATTAAATATTTTCTTCGTCAATTTCTCAAATTTAAACATTAAATTAAATTCAAGGAAGAGAAATTATTTATTTATTAAATAAAGAAATTATTCTTGATTGTGAAAAATCTGTTTGGCTAGGATTTTAATGTCAATTAAAAATTTTTTCCTTAATGAAAGATTTAGAGGAATATTTATTTTTACCACCAGGGGGAAAAAAAGTAGAAAAACAAGTTTACTTTGTTTTTGCAAAGGGAAATGACATTTTTTTTTTTTAATTTCTAATCTTCTTTTATTGGCGTACAATTTATAAAAGGAGTCAACAACTACTTAGGTAATAAAAAGGCAAAGAGCTGGTAATTCCAAGGATGTAGAGTTGGAAAAAAGATAAGAATGAGAATGAGAAAAGATTCAAAGGAAGTATTTATGGATTTCTTTTTAAAACTCTTTTCTTGCATTTTCTTTTCATTTCATTTCGATAGACAATTTCCAAGTTAATTGAGCCACGGGATTCTTAATTGCTTTGCGGCGCTTTTAATTGATTCCCTTTCAGTGGGAAAATATTTAAATGAAACCCTTTAATTTCAAGTTGAAATACTTGGAATTAAATTCATTTTTTACTTAATGTAGAATATGTTTGGAATTTCTTTACTCTAACTGTTAATTCTTTACTTTACTAATTTGAATTTCATTTTTTATTTCACTGAAATAGAAAAATCTTTCAAAATTAGTAAATTGAAAATAATTATCAATTAAAGTGGTTTTTCCCAACGGAAAATTAATTGAGAGAAGAAAACTGTTTTCAAATTCTATTTTTGGTTTTTTTTCTCTACTTTTATTATGTGGTTGTGAAGTGAATTTCAAAATGTCATTCTGATAATAATGCAATGTCTTGAAAAATTTAATACAATCTTTATTGCAACTATTGAATTCACACGCGATGTTATTGAAAGAATAATGGTCCTTGAAAATATTGACGAATATTGTAACAATTCAAAAATTTGCTCTCCCTCTAATTCGCTTTACAATAAAATGAATTTTTGTAATAAATAAAATATTTTCAGTGAGAAAGAATTTTTTTCTTTGGAAAAATATTTCTATTTCCCCTATTAATATTTGTTTCAGTTTTCAAATATTTGTTTATTTGTACTATTTATTATTTTTAGTATTTAAAATCTTTAATTTAATTTTTAAACTTTTATTTTAAAGTTACGATTTAGAAGTAAAAAAATTAAAAATGCAGTAAAATATTGAGAAAGTTTATAACACTGAAAAGTTCTTATCATAAATGTTGTAAATTATATCATTTATCAGAGATCTCAATTACTTTATAAATATACGGATTGTAAAAATAATTTATAAATCGAGATTTCGTAATAAAATTCTCCTTTCCTTCCGTTTACTCAAAATTCCCCTGATTTCTATTTTTATTAATCTATTTTTTATTAATATTTATTTATTATAAAACATTTTATTGTAAAATAAATTTTCGTTTTTAAATACGTCATTGATTTAAAATTTTAAAAAAGAAATAAAAGATACAATACAAACGAATTTAAAATTGAGAAATTTTTAATTTTTCAATTCAGAGGGTAAAATTAATAACTAATTGAATTTCGCAGTGAAAACCAGAGCGAATACACATTGGGCTCGGCATAATCAGAAAATGAAGGATAAGGTCAAGGTCAGAGGTGAACTGAAGAAACCAGAACAAATTTTGAAGGCTCGCAAACTACTCGAAAGGAAGCAAAATAGAAATGGCAAGAAAAAGGGAAAAGGCAGGAAGAGTGGACAGAAAAAAGGAGGAAGACGATAAATTTGGAAAGGGGTGAGTCAAGTCATTATTCTTTTTGTAGTTTAAATCGACGATTAGTTTTTAAGTTGAAAAATGATTATTTTTGTTTTGTCGTTTGCTTTCAAGATGAATTGTTCTTTTCAATTAATGACAGAAGTTTTTTATTTTAATCTATTACTGTCATTAATCCGTGGGAGGAGAGAGGAAACTGATAACTTTTTTTATCAATTTTGAAAACACGTCATAACATCTCTATCGAATGAGAAATTAACATTTTCTTTTTTAAATTTTTACAAAAATTATTCAGAAAGAAATTTAAAAAAATTGTTCAAATTATTATTTTAAAATATTAATAAAATAAATTTTGAAATATATTATAATAATATTAATAATTATATTATATTGAAATATTATATTAATATTTTAAATGAAATTAAAATTGAAATTACATGCTAATTTTTGCAATTTCGTTTTGAACTGTTTTTTCAAATTACTTAATATTATGTAAATACGAATTGAAAAGTAAAAAGAGTACTCGAAAGCCGCTTTCTCGGGTTGAAAAATAATAATTATTATTTGAAAATGTCACACGCAAACTGAAAATAATCTAGATTAGATTATGAACGCTTTAATTGTCCTCTGACGTAGTTTCCTGATTTCACGAGACTAGGAAAATTTCCTGCAAATTGTGTCATTTATTCATTTAAGAACATTCCACTTTTTCCAATGGAATATCAAGTTTTCTTGAGGGGTATCATCTCGTTGAAAATGTAGTACACCGCGTTAATTAAAAGTGGAAATTAAATGCTAATGAAATTAAAAAATATAATTGAAAATTAAAATTATTTTTATCAATGGCTATAATTCGAAAAAATTAACTAAATAATGAGTAATCGATTTTTTGTCTATTTACAATTTTATTTAACTTCTTTATATTTGTTTCTAGTTTAGATCTTTCACTTTTAGTCCCAAGGAACTTTGAGGGAACATTGCAGAAGGTTTTTTTACATAGTGAAAGATAAACAAATTCATGGTGATCGTGATCGTGATCGTGGATGGCAATTCTTTACTTGACAAAAAATGAACACATTTTTAGTTTCAAAGAATTTGAATTTTCTATTTATAGTTTTTCCCTTTCTTTCGTTGCTAATTTAAAAAATAGTTGAAACAACAATAACTTGTCATTGTTTTATTATCTTTTTCTGCTTGAGACAAGATTTTCATTGAGTTTGAATTTTTTACTTTAATTGAGACTTTCAAATTTCATTTCACTGTATCGAAATTAGTAAATTGAAAATAATTATCAATTAAAGTGGGTTTTCCAACGGAAAATTAATTGAGAAAAGAAAATTGTTTTCAAATTCTATTTTTGTTTTTATTTTTTTACTTTTATCAGAAACATAGTTGTGAAATTCATTTAAAAATCTTGTTGACAATTGTGATAATAATTTATTATTTTTTAAATTTAAATACTAAAAAGTAATAAATGTAATTAATTATTTAATTTATATTAAATTAAGTATAAATAATTAAAATTCTTCTAATTTTAATTATTATTATTAAATTTCATAAGAATTAAATAATTGTATTTATTACTTTTTATTTAAATTTAAAAATTAATAAATTATTATCCGAATGACATTTCAAAAGAATTAATATTAATAGAGAATTAATTAATTGGAATTAATATAATTGAATAATTAGTAATGACAAGATAATTGAAAGGATGACTCGATGAAAAACGAAATCTGTTCCCTCGAATAGATTCTCTTTTTGAATTTTCCGATGAATTGTTATAGGAGTTGGAGAGAAAATGAGAGTTTGATTACGTCAATGGTCTTTCATAAGAGAGGTGCAAAGACTCTAGTGTTATATTTTCAAGAGTGTATCTAGATGTCGATAAAAAGAATAGAATAGAATGAATTGATAGTGTTAAGGGGACAAGGTCTTTCGATATTTTGCACAAAGGATCTTTGATATACTCCAATGTTGCCAGAACGATATATGCTTATATATGATGTAGGTGATATCAATTGACGCATTTAATTAAATGCTTATATATTCTTGTAACCTTTATTCTACGTTTTCAGACGTTTTTTTCGCATTCTTATTCTTTTTTTTTTTTTTTTGTCAAATAGATACTTTTATGACTTCATGTCACGAGATTTTCGTAATGCAAGTTCTTTTTAGTCTTCGTTTGAAAAGAAGGTATATATACGTATATATTTTCAAGTAAAGCAAAGTCGTATTTTTTAGCACAACAGCGAAAGTCTTTCAGAGCAAACACTTTCACGTTATGAATATAAATAATCTCATAAAGGCTTTTGTATTTTTTTTTATAAGTTATTGTTTATTTTAGTCTTTGTGCGTTTTATTTAAATATTGTTCCCATTCAACTCATTTTTAAAATTTTTGAATTCTCTTATACATTCTTTTAGATAGTCTCTCTTCATTCAATATTCTGAGTCTATAAAACTGTCAATTTTTGACAAAACATTTTTTTAATGAATTATTTCTTTTTCAAAATTAAATTTTCAAAAAATTGTTCTTTGTATTCACTTGAAACGATTATTAATTATTATTCAACACTTTTGTGTGTAAGTTATTCTCTCGAATCTTAATTTTATTTCCTGATGAAAACCATAATTGGAGATTTGCAATGAAATTAATCGTGAAAATTAAGCAAATAGTTGTCGTAATTAGTAAAAGTGAAAACTGGTTGAATAATAAATATATATATATATATATATATATATACAGGAAATAGAATTTATTTAGAAAATTTTCATCGAAGGGAAAAATGTCGATTGTGTAAAGTAAATTGATTGAAAAAATACGTTTATGAGCTTTTTGATAGGTAATTATAAATATTCCTTTTTTCTTTTTATTTGGCAATTTTTTTCATCTCGTTTTGTTTACTTGAATTTACATACAGTTTGGAAATTGAACTAGTGCTCTCTATTTCTATTGCGTAGCGGTTGCGTATGACTGCATTATAACGAAACTGCAGGTGTACAGAGTCTATTCTATTTGTATTTGCAAGAATGAGATTGTATCTTGTTTATTATTGAGAAAGTCGAAATTTCACTATTATAATCAAGGGAATCGTTTTGATTTTTTCTAAAACAGTAAAAATTAATATTTTCCTAAATAATAAAATTCTGTTATTTATGAAAAATCGAATTCTTTTAAAGAATGTTAGTAAAATTTTGGAAAATAAAATATTTAATTCTTGGCAAGAGTTTTATTAAAATTTCAGGGAAATAATTGAATTGTTTCGAAGAAATTATTTCAGTTTTTTTTTAAAATAATCGAGTTTCTTTTAATAATTTTTAGTGAAAATTTTGAACGTAATTGAATTTTATGAAAAATTACTTTTATGTTTTTAAAATAATCGTGTTTATTAACAATTGTAATAACTAATTTTATATTATTAACTTTTACTAAAATTAAAAAAATTAAGTCTTATAAATAATTTTATTAGTCTTCGTAAATAATTAAATTCTTTTTGAAGAATTTGCTCAAATTTCTTGAAAGTAGTTCAATTTTTTCGCAAAATTTTATTAAAAATAATTGAAATTCTTTTAAAAAAATTTGTTATTTATAAAAATAATTTAATTCTTGTCAAGAATTAAAATTGAAATAATTGAATTCTTATAGAGAAATGAGATAAAAAATTACTGAAAATAATTGAATTCCGTCGACAAATTTTATAAAAATTTGTAAAAATAGTTTAGAATTATTTCCTAAAATTTTATTAATTAAAATTCTATTGAAAATAATTGAATTTCTGAGAAGTATTTTATTATTTATACAAAAATTTAATTCTTGCGAAGAATTTTACAATTCATAAAAATAATTGAATTGTTTCTATGAATTTTATTAAAGTTTTAGGAAATAATTTATTTTTTTCAAGGAATTTAATTGAAATTGTATTGTAAATTTTTCAATTCTCATAAAGAATTTATAATTAAATTTTATTCCTGTTATTCTTATCTTTACTATTCTTTATTAATTTCGATATTAAACTTACCACATAATTCTATATAACTATCTTTTAATAGAAAATCTTTACTAAATAATCTCTTTGAAAAAAAGAAAAAATGATATCTTTTTGGAAAAACGATATTTCTTTTTTGCATAAAATATTTATGAATATTTGTGAAAATATTGAAAAATATTTCTCTCTCTCTCTCTCTCTCTCTCTCTTCTTTTGTTGAAAGATTATTTATTTAATATAATATGGGGAATAAAAAAAAGGAATCTTGTGCTATTCAGACTGGAAAGTTTAATCTTTTCTTTGTAAAATCATGTAATTTTATATCTAGTGCATAAGGCGTTTGTTGATCGATATATAGAGCTAAGTGAGTGATTCTCGTGCATATAGGATAATATTTAACGACATGAGAGTCCGAAGCCCAATATGTGTTTGTAATTCAGTTGAAGCCCAGTCTTTTTAATCGACGAACTGACATTCACGAATATTCCATAAAATTTAACTTATTTAAATTTTAACTTTAGTTTTTTCATTTTTTTCATTTTATTATTTTATTTGCTTTTTTTCAAAAAATTAAAAAAAATATGTTATTAAATTTTTTATTAAATCACTGCTGGAATTAATAAAAAGAAATAGAAACAAATAAAAAAAAGAATACTACAAAATTGATAAAATATCAATTGGAAATTATTTATAGAAAAAATAGTTTTTTTTTACAAAAAACAAGGAAAAAAATATAAAAAGTAAAAAACATGATTGGAAAAAATTGTCTTGAAAAAGTAGTTATTTACTGTACTTTCCAACACTTTCTTATAACTTTCTAACAAACTGACCAGACGGTCATCTAACGCATCTTTTTATTTATATTTATTTTTTCTTAATATTAATTTCACTTTCATTGATTGTTCAAATAATGAAACGAATTTCTAATTTGTTGTGTGATTAGAAAATTGAGGTTTGAAATTTCTCGGAAAATTTTTTACATATATTCTTTATATACTTTCACTACACTGAAAAAAAAATTTCAAATAAAAAA